ACACAGAACGTATGGCTTCATCTACATCCATCTTGACTGCTTTGTTCACTGTTGTGCTGAAGTTCTTGCAAACCCTCTAGTGTATTCTGATTCCTGACCTAGTCGCTGGAGAGAAATGAAACTGAGCGGAGGCACTAGAAATTTACAAACTTTTCACATAATCTCTGGAGACCCTTTGAAATCAATTCACCAGATTTAGAACCACTGCTCTACTGGTCATCAAGTTTTTTGTTAATATACTTTACATCATACATATTCAGCTTATCTAACAAGAAGAAAATACAAAATGGTGTTATAAAATAACTAATTTTATTTACCTTGTAGTGTACCTTTGCATTACACTCCTCATTCTTAATTGTCAGGGGCTTCGTGAAGAGTCCATGACATCCGTGATTAACAGTAGCCCAAGGCAGGTTTTGTAACACCTGTCTACAAAAGGACACATACAGCAGACAAGGACATATCAAAGGTGTTACACAACTATCTTTGAATGCTGAAGTTGGATGATTCACATTTACACAACTCATTATAGCGGTATTGATCGGTGCTTAGCCTAATACAATACCATTACCACTACTTAAAGGTCCTATATTACACAAAACTGAATCCTGTGAGTTGTGTTTTGTTTCATTCACACGTTTGAGTCATCCTTTATTATTAGTCTGTCTACATATCCAAGGCTGTAATGCCCTTTCCACCTTGTGATGCCAGGAAGAGGTAGTTTTCAAGTTAATAGCTACCTTTTACCTTTAAATTGTCCAAATGGCTCTAGCAAAGGTGTATGGAGTTTAAATACACAGAGGAGCGCTTCCTGTATTACCACATGGCATCACAGTGAGTGTTTTCAGTTTCAGAAAAGAACTCATCTTAAATATACAGGATTTGTAAGTTAAACATGTCTGAATGAGTAGTATAACATTAACATTATTCATCAACTTTAATCAAATAAAGTAAACTCCTTATTCATTAATTTCAGTTTCCAGTTATATACAACACTGAGGATTTTTCCCACTCAAAAGATATAATAGGCTATATATTTGTTAATTGTCCATCACTATGGCAACGGTCTTAATTTTCCATCATTCTGAAACTAATGGACTGCACTTCACTTAAAGGTACCTATGCTCTCTCTCCTTTCCATAAGTGCAGTGAAGTATGAAAGACTTGAAGGGAGTGGTTTGACTTCTGCCCAGTCATTAGTCCTCACCGGCTTCAGCGTAGCACATGTGGGGCTATAGGTCAAAAATCCCAGACAACGGAAATAAACAACTTGTAAATAAACAAGTTGGTCCAAACACAGCCATTAATACATCCAGTCCTTCAGTTCCAGTTAAGCTCTTGGGTTGACCCTCACTTATATAAGTCCAACACCTAACTGCCCATATGCCTTCGCTTACATAATAGTATTTACCTGGTATATATATCAAATGTCTGGTCTAATAGAGCCGTGTTGTTAACATCTGATACCGTGATAATGTGTTTTGTTCAGGACAAAGCACCTGTGTCACTCTTCGCTCCATCTTCTTCATCACACTCACCATGATCTGACATCTGTGAAAGACAAAGGCAGGTGGAAAAGATGCAGAGTTACAGTGCCCTTAATTAAAGTTAAAGGGCCCATGTTACGTTATTTTCTGATATATATTATGTTGTTTCCTCATCACAAACATACCTGAAGTTGTGTTTTTGTTTTATTCACACATGTTTAACACACAAAACCTGAATATTTATACTGTGTTCTTCTCTCAAATGGAAAACACTACATGTTCCACCTTGTGATGTCATGTGGTGATACTGAACTAAAGGTAAAAGGCAGCCGTTAACTTGAAAACTATCACTATATAGTGTCACAAGGTGGAACAGAGCATTTTGAGCTTTGGAGACTAATAATAAAGGATTACTCAATGAATGGAACAAAACACAACTCCAGGTCTGATTTTGATGAGCTAAAAACATTCTAACATGGCTAAAAGCTCACAAGAGTAAAATTTGCCTAATGTAGGATCTTTAAAGAATCACTATGTAACTTTTCTGAGTCTGCCACCTACTTTTCTCCATGGAAATGCCATGTCTTTGCTTGAATGTTCTGTAGTATGGCATTACCTCTCAATCTTGTATGTATTCAATATGAGGTGTTTATTGCCTTGAAAAAACAGGGGGCCAGCTCTCCATTGATCTAAGCTGTAACTTGGCCTTGTGGCATCATCTGATTTTCTATATCGAGATGAATTTAAGGCCATATCCTGAGGAACATTTCAGCCAAGGTAATATCTCCATAGCCGTTGCCAGAAAACCTATATCGTGCATGTTTAAACATTGCTGCTTTAAAAGAAGACAGGACTTAAAACAATAACCAGATAGGACAGATAAGTAGCAACTGAGCAAAACTTGATGGAGACAACATATTCTTCATGTTGATTGTATATGGATGCACTTGGATTTTAATTTGATCAGGAAAACTGAGTGCTAAAAATCCTCTGATTAGACCGTACTGTGGCAACGGCAAATGTGTTAACAAATAATTGAGATCCTTTCCAGTTTGGAAGCAAACAGGACTGAGAGTGTTGGGTGGAATGTAGAATTTGAAATAAGTACTTATTCTCCCTAAAAACCTGGGTGCAACAGTGGGGTCACAAATAGCCTATGAACTAAAGAGTAAACAGTTTAAACTTTGCTTGAGACTTACAGTACATATGGCTGCTGGGATGGCTGCAAACACATAATAACACATAACAAAATAATAATAAAATCTAAATCAAAATAATAAAAATCAAAATCTGCTCAGGTCAAGCCAAAATCAAATCTTGTCAAGTGCCAATTACTTGTATGTGACCCCCCCACATGACGGACCATACATGAGCGTGAAACAGCATTCATTTTACAAAGCAGGCCCAGCTGCTGTAGTGCACAACAATGTGAACAAACATATTCTAGTCACACCACCTTATTTTCATCTATTTTCCATTTCAAACTCCAGTGGACACACTCACAAGTCATTACAATCAAATATTCAATAGCAAATACCATTCATTCAATAATATCTAAAGGTTCAGGCACAGTTGGCCTTTTGAATCCATCTATATCAAATAAACAGTCTTGTTTAATAGAACGTTTCTTAAATATGACATTTGATTATAAAAATTTATGGAAAATTTCGGGTTCTTCTAAAATATCAAAACTGATTATAGTCCACTTGAAAGACCCCATGTTTGCATTATTCCCTTACAAATCATTGCATTTTCATAATTTTATTCTTGAATCTGCCACACAACCCAGAAACCCTCAATTTATAGCATTCACAGTTGGTTAGCTTCAACAGCAGTGAGCTGTCCTTTCAATATTTTGGTACCTGTGCACGATCACATTCTCCCAAGAGACTTTGATGTCAATAATGTTGAGTTTTTTCTCTGTATATTTACAGGGGAGAAAAGCAGAAAAAAATCATATCTCAGTGATGGTGAAGCTACAGGGCAAAACTGCTGGTAGTAACAGCTTTTGCTTGAGGAACTTACCTGCTTTGATGTTTTGTTTGTTTTTTGTTTGTTTGTTTTCATTTTAAAGTAAATATATATTAATGTTGTTGACAGTACCTAAAATTTGATCAACTTTAGGGAATAGTTGCAAGTTATGATTGGAGTTTTATCATGGCATAACTGGTAACGATTTAACATATTTTGACAGAAAAAAGTAATATATTAATTTGGGGTCAGTGTTTAATTTTTTTAATGCTTTCTTTTAGTGAATACATTTGGTCTCATGTACTCCTACTGTAGAGGTCACACTTTCAACATTCAAAGACCTTTATAGATATTATTGCCATAGATACATAGACTTCTTTCAACTTTATATTTAAATTGGCTCACAATTTATATATTTTGAATTACTTAAAACATAATTTCCTGTGAAATATTAGATTTTAAACTTCACTGAGATTTTAATATCACAATCTTATCATTCATTACTGGCTTTTCTTTGTCTGGAATGTTTCACAGTATGTTATGAAACAGTTATCTTCACGGAAAAACCAAACCAGACCAAATTATAAGTCAGATCTGTGGAGAAAACCGTACTCAGTCAGAATGCCTGTTTTTGTAGGCATTTTTTAAGCTATAAAACCACCTGTAATTTAGTAAACTAAGGAAGGACATTTAATGTCATACAGTGGAACATTCCAGGCAGAGCAGAGACAAATCCATGGAAACAAGCAGGTGATGGAACCCCAAACAAAAAGTTACATAGTTCACCTTAAACCAGTTGTACTTAAAGAACAGACAAAATGACCTGAATTCACTCCCATTTCTCCCTATGGCATTAGCATTGTTTTGCTTACATGCTTTGCATACAGAGACTCCACTGGCACAACATGAGATCTGCATTCAAACCCTTATGTAGTCCATCTCTTCCTTTTCAGCTAACAACCTTTTAGTTTTGAGTGGATGCAAGTGTCAACAAGACATCTAATATATTCACTCACTGCACACAACCAATGTATCTAATCTTTAGTGCACTTTTGCTGATAGCCTGACAGTAAATATTGTCTTTAGCTACACTTTTCTATGAGTGCCCGGTGCTAGTGTAATCGATGTTGACTGAGGTGAGTGAATGTAAAAGGCCATTAGTCATAAGTTGTGTTGATCTCGCCTGCTGCTCGGGACAGCACATATGTGGACACTGTAGCGTTGCCTGGGGAAAGTGAGGAGGGACACAGCTGATCCCCCACATTAAAAGACTGTCTAATGAAATCAGCCTATTCTAGGATTGATTTGGGTTCTTACAAGGATAGAGTTCAAATGCAATGTCAGTTTTACAACTTATACTTTCAATAAGAAATACATGTTTCGGTTTCAATTACAAGCTGATGACATAGTTGATTGATTTAAAAAAAAAAAAAAAAAAAAAAAAAGTATCCGTGATGCAGATGAGATGATCGCGACCATAAAATCTACAAAAAGTGATAAATAAAATGATAATTCATTACTTCAAATTAAAACTGTCACAGGTTAGAAGAACAAATGAAAAAAGTATTTTATTGGCACCATTGGAGCGTGTTATTTGTATGGATTATGTTTCAGAATCACAAAGCCTAATGGTTCTTTGTTTAATATTGTCAGAACAGCCTGAGGGTGAGTGAAAGCCTTCAGTGTCATAAAACACTTGGCAAATGTTTATTGTTGTTACACCAGAAGAACTTAAATAGTAAATAATGTTGTAGGGTTCATGGTAAGGTACATTAGAGCCGTCACACACTTTATCATTCAGTGTGTGTAATTCACAGCTGAAATACCGGTTAGCGCATTACATTTATCAGTTTTGCTTGGACGGACAATGGATGGACTCCTTATCTGCCACAGTAAATACTGAACATGCAGTGGCTCATCTGGTAATGCACAGTGGATGGACAAGTACTCTGACAGGTAGAAGGTCCCAAGTAGATCATGTATTATGTTAGCTGTTCAACAGCAGCTGAAGGTTTTGTGATGTCTGTTTTAACTGTAAACGTCTCCTTAAACACAGAGGTTTGCCTTTGAGCCGATGCCGTTGTCCGGTGATCCGCTCCTACTGCCTCTGCCACAGAGTTGAAGCCCTGCTCCCTACACACACACAATTAAGATGTTAATTATAAAGTGTAAAAGAAATGCAGGAAGATAATTACTACATTCTCTCATTCTCTCCTTTCCTCTTATGTCAGGGTCCCATTAATGTAAACCTAAACATATGCAGCCTCACAGACAAGAACACATGACACCATTTCACCACCATTCAAGTTCAGCTCTGCAATTATATGCAACTGTTGAATGGGTGTTAACATTATAATAATATTTATATAGTTATATGAAATATATAGTAGAATATATTATATAAATACATTATATATTATTAAGTCAGTTGCTATATTTCCTTTTGTCATCTAACATAGCATCTTCATTGCCATTCTTAATCACAAACAACACTGCCCTTGTCCCAGTACATAAAAAAAACAGGCTGTGAATACAGTGACTAAATAATGTATTTTATGTTGAAAAGCTCTGCCTCCAAAAAGCACTTCAAGACCAGCTTGTACAAAATGTTATAGCTTAGATTATCAGCTATAGTCAATAGGTATAAAATGCAGGTTGTCAGCTGGTCTGAAACTTTCATTAATATAATAAAACTTAAACTATATACACTAACTTCCTTTAATGATTTAAATTGGCATTTTTTTATAAACATCTGAGTCATTTGTACTACTTACAGAAGAAGTTGTTCTAGTTCTCGCTTGATCTTGGTCACCACTGGAGGACCCTGGTAAGCCAGAGCAGTATAAAACTGAACCAGCGAGGCGCCCGCTCGGATCTTATCTAATGCATCCTGTCCACTTGCCACACCACCAATACCAATGATGGGCACTTTACCTGTAAAAAGTTACAAATCAGGCAATGCCTTGTTTTAATGTGGTTTAAGATTTACAGTTTCAAACACATTATCTAAATACAGACCTTTAGTGAGGCTGTACATCTCTCTCACTGTTTGTGTGGACAGTTCCTTCAGAGGCTGACCACTGAGTCCTCCCACCTCAGCCCGCTCTGGGGCCTGTAGTGTATCTGGTCTGGTCACTGTTGTGTTGGAGACCATCAAACCATCAACCCCCAACTACAAAATATGCATAAGAAAATATTTAGAAGTGTCATGGATTTATAACTTTTAATGCAATCTTGACTGAGTTTCTACATTGCAGTGTCCATGGAAGAGCAATGAGTAGTATTCATCGCACAAATAAGTCTAGTTATTGTGTTGGCTTGAGGCAGAAGTCAACCTGAATTCTCTCAAGTCAAGCAAAACACCAACAGCAAAAAACACTAGATAAAAAGTGGATTTAAACCCATTACTGTGAGGCAAGTGTGGTTTAGAGCCCTTGTGCACTAATGTGAGCTATGATGGACACTATAGAAATATTTGCCCTCCTTTCTCGGTAATGTGTCCATTTAAGATGCTCCACTGAATGCAAGAACACCACCTTGGCATTTCTAAAAACACCTGCTGACTGAGTGACACTATGACAAAAGCATATGGCCACAAAGGTGCAAAAAAATATAATATATATAATTTTGAGGACTTGGTACACACGTGACCTACATAGCCTGAATACACCAGAAACCTGAGGTAAGGTCATAAACTTCTGAATAACCAAGTTTAAACTGCTGCTTTACAAAAGGTGTTTAGGAAAGGATATTAAAAATGTATTAATTAAATGTCAAGCATCCATGCAGAGCTTTTGCATCAGTGTAATTTAGGGCATATGAGTCATCTTCAAAAAGATAGTTTCTAAGTAGTTAGAAAAAGACATTAATTAAATTAGCTAGGTCAGGACACTATGAATAAAACAAATGTTTCTAACCTCAATGACTACATCAGCAATGTCACGTTTGTCCTGAGAGCTGAGGTCAGGGGCAATTTTGACCAGGACGGGCGGTTTGTGCTCTCCCCGCAGGGCGTCCCGTTCCTTCAACACCTACAAAGATTAGATGAGCAAGATGTATTATTGGGGCACAGGCAGATCAGTGATTTTAAACTTTTCACTCAAAGGTACCAGAAAAATGTCATTAGGCAAAAAAGGACTGATTCATTTGTGTCTACAGATGTGAGGATGGGTGACAAAAAATTATGATATTTGATTGAATTAAAATAAAAACAAATCAAAATGGATTTCAATATTAGTAATAAACATGACAGAAGACTTTTGAACTCTGTTCCAAATCACATGCTTTTACTGAGGATTGGCTGCAGACCTCTCCACTGAAAAGACTCAAGCTAATTATTGAAAATGTATAAATTACTAAAATTCAATAAATTTGACTTAGACAAACTTTATTGATCCAAAAGGGAAGAGACACAGTACCTCACAAATCACAACATATTATAATAACCAAGTAGCTAATATAAGTACAAAAATAACTAGCAAAAATAGTCAATGGCTATAGTATACACTGGAATTGACAGTTCATAGAAAATTGCATTACTGGGTCCAAGTGAGGTCTAAAGCATGACTAAACAAAACCCTGAATAAGCATTGAATTTGGAAAATGTAAAAATAAATCAAAACTTTAACTGTCTGTGTATAACTAGTCATAAGGATGTTTCATGGCCAGCCTTACCATACTGAGGAGATGGCGTAACTCATATTTTCCTTGCAAGTTTCTGAGACCTGGTGTATTGGGGCTGCTCACATTGACCACCAAATAGTCAGCCAGGGGTCCCAGTGCTTTCACGCCTTCCTGGTAATCCGCCCCTGCGTCCTGGGACAGCTTGTTCTTACCCAGGTTAATGCCTAGAGGGTGGCCAACTAAACACAAAAAAGATTTTTTATATTTTTTTATATTATATTTTCAGCGTTTTATACACCAATCATATACATTTTTAACTTAAAAATGTGGTCTAAAATGAGAATAGAAATGCTCTAATCAGGCATATAAAACAATTTAAGCTTTACTGTACAGTTAAAGTTGCTTCATAATGTACCGTATTTTCCGGGTGATTAGGCGCTCCGGGTTATAAGACGCACTGTCATTTTCCCGAACTTTTTTCACATATAAACTGCACCGAACTATAAGGCGCGTTAAACGAAACACAACAGTTAGGTCAAACTTTATTTAACGCATTTACTCGTTACGTTAACTCTCAACTTTGTTCATTTGTAACACGTAAAAAACAAAAAACTGTCTGAGACCCATAAATTGTCAGCGTATTCACAGTAACTCATAATTGTTCAGTTATAACTAAAAATAACACATTAGGGCGTTTTCACACCGCTAGTTCGATTATTTGGTCCGCACCAGGCAATAAAATTGTTATTATGTAGCAAATACACTCCAGTGTGGTCCGCTTTCACACCGGCAAACGAACCAAAACTGGTTCGATTGACGTGTCTCTGTTTCCCGGGAAAACAGCGATACCTCCAGTTATCAACACCGATGTTCCTGTTAATACCACGGGCCGTCCTCATCTCAACTTATCATCATGAACTCATAAAACAGCAACATGTAGAACTTTGTACAAACTCACCGCATCAGCCCAGAGTTCGGGTAACAGCAGCAGCCGACAGCGCTCACCGTAGCGCACAGCTCCTCAGGACGGGGCTGGGGTCTGGTCCTTGGTCTTCTGTCGTCCTACAAGCGCGTTGGTCAGATGGTCCGGACGCTCCATCCTCCATGTACTGGTTCCAGATGGTGGCGAGCAAGACCAGTGCTTGATGGACTGAGTCCGAGCGGGTACGTTCCGTTGTCTGCGCGCTGTTTCCGTGCGGGAAAAGCAAGAATGCGCTGTGGACTACAGGTCCGGGAGCGCTGCTCCGGTCCTCAAGAACCGCAGCTGGTTCCGAGGTGGTGCAGCATCCGGACAGAAGCGTGAGTCCCGTTTGGTCTGTTATGTGTTGTTCTGAGCGTCCGTCCTCCGTGCATTTGGTTCTTCCTGGGGAAAGCGCTTCCTCAGGTCGAGGCTCCCCGCTCAAGCTCCTCTGAGCCCGGCCTGAACCGGAGCTGCCCCCCCTGGTAGTCTGACTGTATTTCTCACACTAGGCTAAAAGCAGGGACTTTTTGAAGTTGTATCAATTGAATAGGCTATTGCCATAAAATTATTTGGTTAATTAAAGCCTAAAATAACAAATGCTGGTTGGTACATGATCACGGGGAACACCGGGACCTCTCTGTGTGTGCAGGTCCAGAACAGACGTACACACCCCCAATTTTGACTCACTCAGGAGCCACATGTTCGCACACTGGTACTTGCTATGATCTTCGTGTATTACATTCTCTGTATTGGCCATTGTTGGTAAAATAATTCAAAAATTAATCGCGGCTGCATTTGAACAACAATCTGTTACTGCACTGGAGTCGCAGATCAATAGGGACGGAGATGTGTGGAAAAAGCCATCCGGTCTCTTAAGGTAAACTTTTCGCAGCCAGTCGCCAGCCTCGTCCACAGGAAAAATGAGGAATCACAGTACGTATTACTCAGTGATGCTCCTGACTACGGTAGCCGTAATGCTGCAAGTGGTGCGGCTTTGTCGTTTACCGAAGCTGTACTGGAACACTCGCGTAAATTCATATTAAATGTGCTCCGGATTATAAGGCGCGCAGTCGTTTTTGGAGTCTTAAGACTGCGCCTAATAGCCCGGAAAACACGGTAGGTCAACTGAGCAACCAAAACCACAGGATGACATATATGAGTGGTCAGTTTTATATATTATGACACTGAAGAACATACTATATTTATATACTGTAATGTCATGTGTTTGGGAGGAAAAACAAAACTATTATATTATAAATACCATAATCTAATATAATGTAATCTGTTTGTCTGGTAATGTTAAAAATGTTCAATATACAAAGTTGTAAAAAAACAAAAAACTAAAACCCACCTCTAGTCTGTTCTATCTGTGTGGCTTCTCTCACTTTGAGTCTTTGCTGTGCTTCAATAAGCCCACAACTATTAAATCCATATCTGAAAGAAAAGATCATTAGAGCAAGGGGCCAAGATCATTATCGACAGCACACTGCACTCATTAATTATAATTTAATTATGTTAAAGGACCCATCCTGCTAATCACGTCTTTATTTTAAGGGCTTCCTTTACATAGTACATTGAGAGCATGTGTGCCTGTGCTTTGCATTTAATTGTCCCATTTCTTGACAAAAAAAAAAAGTAATACGCTTTTCATGGACCTTCACATGTCTCATCTGTCAAGCTGATATTTTCCTTCCTGCTGTCAGTCATGAATTCTTTTACGCAATAAACTTGATGACATTGTAAAAGGTTTAAAAGTTCAAAAGTATAATGTGCTTTAATGATTGTGTAAAATTGAGGTGTCTTTGTGTGGAAATAATAAGCTTGTAACCCCCAGGCATGTGCAGCTACACATCTTTTTTTTTTTTTTATTATGTGCAAACGTTTTGATAAATTACACCTTTAAAAGCAGCTCATCTTCCAAACTCACCTGTTTATAATGGCTTGGTCAGTTGTGAGTCGAAACACACGTGGTTTGGGGTTACCCTCCTGAGGCTTTGGTGTGATGGACCCCACTTCCACAAAGCCAAATCCCATTTTGTAAAGACCATCCACAGCCTCTCCATGTTTGTCAAAGCCTGCTGCAATGCCTACTGGGTTTTTAAACTTTAAACCAAACGCATTTGTCTGCTACAAAGAGAATCAACCCAAGTAATACCAATTTTGTCATTATGTGTGGTTATAAGAGTTAAACAGCGAAATACTGCACTTACTAGTGAGGGGGGGTCTTGGTAGCGGTTTATGGGGACCAGACCCAGGCTAATTACTTTCACAGCAAGAACATGGGCAGTCTCTGCTCCCACAATCCTTTGCAGCAATGGCATGAGCTGGTTGGCATAAAAGGGCTCATCTCCAACGACTGTGAGATAGGATGCAAAGAGAAGACTCCCAGAGCCAATTACCTTCACTGCATCCTTCAACTGTTTCTGTAAAAAGACAACAGTTATTTGTTAATGTTTATCTTATAAGATGTCTATTAGTATGTACCTATGTGTATGTATTTGTAATATGTACGTGTGTGTATGTATGTATGTATACACACACACGTATACTTATATGTAATGTGTATATGCATGTGTGAATGCATATGTATGTGTATATGTACGTGTAATGTAATTGTAATGTTTGATTTGTTTTTTTAGTGTTTGTGTTTTTTTTTTGGTTTTTTTTTATATTGTCTTTGCATGTTGGTAAATTAAAAAAGACAAAAAACAATGTATCCACTTGTACAGGCAAATATTAAATTACAATTGAATTTACTTGAGTTGAAATATATTAAATACGCAATTTTCAAGAATGTGAACTCAATTATCACTTTAAAAAATCATTTTAATGAGGCTATATAGTACAATATAGGGTGGGTTTCATATACGGTGACCAGAGTTTCTAAATAAATTACTTTTACTCTCGATTTGGGGTGGTTAGTAATAGTAGTAATTAAAGAAAATTGTTCTGCCCTCGGCCTATTCGTGACGAACATGTGAGTCAGTATAGTCACGTTTTGTTTTTTTTGTTTTTTTTGTTTTTTGGGGGGGGTCAGCTTTTTTGTATTTTACGTAAGCAAATAACAGTTTATGCCTCTCTTTACTGTTGGCAGGTATCTAATTTGTCAAAAATAGGGACACCTGAGACATTTCTTGCATAAAACTGGGACAAATCCTCGGGGACAGGGGACACTGGGCTCAAAACTGGGACTGTCCCGGGTAAATAGGGACGTCTGTCACTCTAGTTACGTAGGGTAGGTTTCTGATCAAATTATATGATTCCCGATTGTGGTTTTCTCTTCCGTGGTCAATCAATGTGCCATTAACCATTACACCAAACCTGTACAACAATTAATCAATTCATTTTCATTTTCAATTAAAATGGCCAAATCACAGATGTAGGTGTGTGATGTCTAAAACTCAAGCGACCTCAAGTAACTTAGCGGTGAAGCTAAGAGTTGTGTATTAGAAAAGTGAATATTTACTGACGGAGGACAGGGAACATATAATAAAGATTTAGCATGTCTAATTGTCATGTCTGATTACCTTCAGAAGTCCCGCCATGGACGTGCGTGTGTCATTGCTGGATTAGAGGGCACGTTTCCTAAGAAGCATTGATGTAACATGTAGCATAAACATTAGCATCTCGTGCGCTAATGCTATTCTCGCGATATTTGATCACGAATTCTTATGCATCTGACTGAGATCTTGAATGCACTGGTGAGCTGACTATCAATTATAAAAAATGGATAAATATAATATAATATAATATAATATAATATAATACAATGTAATGTAATGTAATGTAATGCAATGCAATGCAATGCAATGCAATGCAATGTAATGTAATGTAATATAATATATTTATTTTCATTAATTATTGGTATTACTAAGATATAGACAAGGCTATGTTGGATTGCTAGAAGATTTCAGTGTGGCCCCAAGTGATCCAAGTCACTCCTTCACTTTGCATCTTGTTTGAGTGTTTCAAGTCATTTTCCTATGGCATAAATAACTATTGCGTCAGTTTAGTTTTTTCTTCTGGAGAAAGCTCTGTTATTTCCATATCACTCTGAAGAGAGCTTGTTCTGCCACAGAAGCTCCTTTACTGATGACCGCAATGGAGTTGTCAAGCAGAATGTCCCTCACTCTGCTCTGCACCTTTGGATTTTTGCTTTTACTTGAGAAATCATATGTTTTACCATTTAGTCAAAACCCTGCAATGTGTAAATATGTTTTGGATGCTGTATGTTATGAGTTTGTTGATGGAGCTTTCAGCTGGGAGGAGGCCAGGATGAGCTGTGAAAATCAAAAAGGGGACCTGCTGAAGGAGATGAGCAGCCAACAAAAACTATTTCTGCAAAATACCAAGAAAGACTCAAACACCACAGAGCAGAGCTGGTGGCTCGGAGCGCGGCTGCAAAGTGAATATAAAGAAATCAGAGAGGGTAAGGCTTGTTGCTCATGTTTGTTCAGTGAAATACCAACTGAAAGACTTTAGCTTTTTTCTTCATAACAGTGGATAGTTTTCAGGACTAACAATCTTGGCAACTCTTTCTAGTTATAGTTTGGAGTGTTTGGAGTCTGAAGTGTATTTTCTTTCAAAAATAGTAGATTTACATAGATTGCTCTCATTTGTCTAATATACACTTAATTATTTGACATTCCATTACATGGAGGAGCTGAGGCACTCTCTCATGAGATGAGCCTTAATGTGGATTTTAGTGCAGACACTGTACTCACGACGAAAAGTTAATACAAATCCTTGCTAGATAGCTCTTTTATGACTCTTATTCTCTTGTTACTTTATTTTGAGATTTGTTAAAGTGTATTCTTTTCCTCCCCAGATAATATTTTAAGGCTTAACTCTTTAAATCTTGACTTTGAATTGAAATGAATTGTATGTATAGTGAGTGTGCTAGTGTCATGTACTTTTGTGTGATTGTTGCTGTACTTTTGTTCATTAATATGTACTGTCCCTTTACAAATAAATAAATAAGAAAGATAATGGCTTAAAAAAATGTTTAAAAAATTGCTATTGTGGTGTACCTTTCTGTTACTCACAATAGGTTTGATCTATTTGAAATAAAGGAATAAAATTTTAAAATAATAATAAAAGAATTTAAGATTTTTTGAAATGTCAAAATATTATATAATATTTTTAATATATATATATATATATATATATATTTAATGTTTTGTTTTTGGTATTAATTTTTTTTTTATTATTATTTGCAGTGCATAAAAATACCACACAGGACACACATTGCAATATAAATGCTATGGTCATTATGTCATCTGTCATAGTGTAAAAGATATTTCCCTTTGTATTTAAAGGGGAAAATGTGGACAGTACCAGTGTTTCCTGCACGTACCTGAAGTTGAATCCTCTGCAGCTCATCACTACAGCCAACTGTGATGAGGAACATGGCTTTCTCTGCACCCATAGTAAGCTCTACAGTATTTTATTGATTAATATCAACACTGCATATGTCATAACATATACTGATTGACTGATTTCATTAAAATAGAAACAACAGTGTACAATACCTTAATGTTTCAGAAACGCTGCCCTTTTTTTCTGTAGTGTTGTTTTAAAATGTCTTGTGTTACCTTAAATTCATACACTGTTAAAATCAATCTTGACTGTTGTTTTGTAGGCATTTACAAGGCATCTGAGCAGGAGGTAGGATATTTCTTTTTATTTTCCAACATAAATCTCGTAGTATTATCGCTGAACAAGTTTTAACTTTAATTCAACAGAATTCATTTAAATGGAGCCATAGAAGCCATTCACGTGAGTTTTTTTTTTATATTTTAAAGATTAGACCAAAATGTTTAAACTTGTGTTTAACTTGTTATGTCTATTTCAGGACACAGAAGAGCTGCCATAAATGACACCCTTGATGTACGAACTTAATATTCTTAATAATAAAACATTTTAGTCAAATAATTTGCATTTTTATATCAATCCTCTTTAACAGGATGTTGAGCGTATATTGCGAGGTTTTGAACAACATTATGGAGAGCCTTCAGCAGCAAACAGAGTAATTAAATTCAATCATAATAATTATACTAGGTGTGCAGTAATCTAAAAATCTTTCTATCTTTTCTTAGTCTATCGTAATACCAAAAATAATGGAAGCAGCTCAGGCTCTGGAGCCTCCTATTCACAACCACACTGTGTCTCGCATCCTCAACTGCACCACTGCTGTCCTGACCCTGTCACTGACGAGATGCAATCTTGACTCTGTAACCAATCCCACTGTATGTTCACATCACTAAATAAAGGGCATGTTGAAATTAGGCATACTTTTTTTTAAGCAAAATAAACCTCTTTCCCCGCAGGCATTGTTTGAGGAGGTCTTTGACATCTTCAGAGTTGTTTCTCTTGCAATTGGTGCTGACTCTCCTTATCTATTTATGACAACTCATCCAGATGGAAATCTTTATCAGCAAAAGTAAATACACATTAAAAGTGATACATCTATTGTTACATTTCTAAACCAGAAAATATAAGATCTCTTTGCAAGAATTCACTTTGAACACTGATTATTTTATCTCTCCTTTTCTACAAATGTAACTATTAATTTAGTTACGAGATGAACGAGATTGGCGAAGCAGTCCTGGGTTCCAGAGAGAATGGGGAGTATGTGGTGATGCCCTCTAAACAAGCATTTGAGCCAATATTCCAGGGGCGAAAAGATCTTATTGCTCAGGTGAGTCTTCTATAAAATATTCTGTATTGCATTTATTTATATCAGAAGATAAAGCAACTGTCTTTTTATTGCTGTTGTGACAGATGACTACATTGGTAGATTTGAACCAAAATTAACCAGATTGCAATACTTTGGCCACCATTATAAATTTTTTGTATTGTCACCTACTTTATTTCCTTCATTTTAACAGTGCACCAGTTACTTGTTTTATTGATACCATAAACCTGCCTGCAGTTATTGGACTGTATACTATTTTTGCCCTGTTTTAGGTGGCTTCTTTCAGGACAAATCCTCATCTCACTCATGAACCGATGAATGGAAGCTTTTTAAGCTTTGTACTGAATGATCCACAAACAAAGAAAGAAATTAAAGTGAAAAATCTTTCAGAAAGGTTTGAGGTAAGGCACATGTGTGGAACAGGATGTTGGTATTCTTATTTTCTCATTAGGCATTGGGTTATGCCTAATTAAAGGTGCACTATGTAATTTTTCTGGTGAAGGGTTTCACCACCTGCTTGTCTCTGTGGAGGTGTTATTGTTTAGCTTGGGATGTTCCACAGTATGGCATAATACTTGTCTATCTCCATGGAGACAAGCAGGTGATATCAGCCAAGGCCAAGGCACTGGTCAGATCTGTGGAGAGGCAAGACCATTCACAGTCAGAATGCATGCAATATATTTTTAGCAATTAAACACCTGTAACTGAACACATGTAAGACAGACAAGAACAACTAATTAGATAATAGCTCCATGGAAACTAGCATTTGGAAGACCCCTCCAAAAAAAAATAAAACATTACACGGTGGATCTTTAATTTAAAAAATAAGAATTGTCTAGTAATGCATACTTAAGTTATGACTTTGCCATGTTTGTTAGATCTATTTGCCTCGCTACAATACAACAGATGTGAACACTACAGTGTTACTGGAAAAGGATCGCAAAGCAGTGACCTCCTTCAACATCACTGACCCCGATGTGACAGTTCTTCTGACCATCGAGCCCAATGTGAATGTGTCTCTGCGTCTGCTCCTACAATACAGCTCACCTCCAAACAGCTCCTTTAATGGCACCCAAGTCATTCTAAACCCACAAGGTAACAGTGAGCAGAGCCCTATTCTGAGTATCCAGTCTGTATTATTGCGCTGTCCTCGGAACTGTTTCATCTGATATCAACTCTATTAAGGCCGGTTTTTCATATGTATGTGATCCTATTTCACAGCAATGGCTACAGTAATGAGTTATGCAAAATGTACAGAAGAGCTCCTCGTAGGATCTTCTACAGCTGTAGTATTTAGAACAGCTACATACTAAATATGTGTAAAGAGACTGTGTAATTAAAAGTCAGTTAATTGGTCACATAGATTTGAATATCCTTAATTTTATAGTGATTATTGTGTTTAACATTTGATTAAATTTTAGTTTTTCTTCTTAAAACTCATTAAAAACTGATGAAGAGATAAAGGAAATACATCTTAATGTGTCTCAGTATGTAAATAATGGTAAAGAAAGTAAGGCATAAGGTAATGCCCATGTAATGCATAAAGCACAGAAGGAATGGCTTGGCCTCATGATTGTCATTGTTACTTGTTTAAACAGTGGGCTACCGCTGGATGATAACACCCAGCATGTTGGACGGAGTGTCCGGGATGTGGTATGTTGATGCACGTTTATTCAACTCGACGTGGGTCCCAGGCATGACGCTGACCATCATTTCACACATGACCAAGTGCCTGTACTGGGATATAGAGAGCGAGAAGTGGACCACTGACGGCTGTGATGTACGTTTTTGATTTAACCAACCTCACCTACTTTCTGCAACAAGTACAATACAATTCAATGTGCAGTTATACAGCAGACTTTGGTGTTAATACAAGTCTAAAATATAGAATGCAAATTTTAAAATAAATCAGGTGAATCTATTCATAAAAATCTAAATACCTTTTGACTTATTTAGGTATCAATTCATCAATAAATGTATTTATTTTGTGACAATAAAGTCATTATAGAATTTCATGGTGGTGTAATCACTCATTCGTCCAGGAGTGTCCCAAGTTAGGATCTGGACATATAAAACAAGATGTTTTCAGAATTATCCAGAAGCAATTTTTTTAATTGATGACTGAAAATTGAAAATGACTTTTGAATGGGAGCCAAATCATCTTGTTCTCAAAAACAGTGTCCAAATGACTACCTCTGAAACCTTTTCTACTTGCCCTCTGGATAGTGGTAAGCTACTTCTCAAGTCGAAGCTGCCCTGGGAAAAACAGTTACAACATTGTTATGAAAATTTCTATTAATATTAAGTAAATAGGGATATGAACTTGGATGTCAATTATTCCATCATCTATGCATTCAGCTAACTTAGAATACTTAGAATAGCTTAGAATAGATCCAATTTGTTTAGTTGTAATTGAGGGACTAAGTTAAACTATGGTGAACCTTCTCAGAATCCAACACTGCAATATTTCTTTCTTGCTTGTGTTTTTAGGTGGGTCCCAAGAGCACCCTTGAGATCACACAGTGCCTCTGTAACCACTTGACTCTTTTTGGGAGCTCCTTCTTTGTGATGCCCAATTATGTGGACCTATCCCGCACTGCAGAGCTGTTCGCCACTGCCAAAGACAACTATGTGGTTTTGGCCTTAGTCTGTGCTTTCTTTGGCTTCTACTTCATGACCCTAATGTGGGCTTGTTACGCTGACCGCAAAGCTTTGTCTAAGGTGATACTTCAAAAGTTACAGTTCAGAAAAAAAAATGTTATCGATGTAAATTGATTTATCTTTGGTATAAACTCAATCTTGCTCTAACGCAAGGGAAATTAAATGATCACAGATTCATGGTTGGACATACATAACTGAATGGCAAATATAGTGAAAAAACAAGGGGTAATTGTCAAATAACAGAACAAAACCTTTGACATACACCCACATTTCTAGTTGTGTGAATTGTATTTGATGTTCCAAGAATTAGCATTTGTGTCTGCCATGCTAATATTGAATACTGATTTGTATGTTATTGTAGCGGAAGATTACCCTTTTAGATGACAACCATCCTGGAGCTCTATACAACTACTTGGTCTGTGTCCACACTGGTCATCGAAAAAATGCTGGGACAACAGCAAACGTAAGAAAATCTAATTTGAAAAGATGTCTACGGTGAAACTGTAGACTACTAGCAAACAGTAGACTACTAGCAATGAGATTTTGAGATACTAAGTCCAATTTAACAAATAAATAAATACACACATAAACACATATCCTTAATATCGTACTGCCTCTGATCATATGAATGGTGTCCAAAACTACATTTTTTGCAGTTAATCCTAAATTAATCCACAACATTTTTGTTGATACATTGACTTATTGATGTCCATTTATTTTCTGGAGACTGATTCTATGTTACTACTTACTTAACCTTATCCTAAACCCTAACCTTAACCTATTTAAACCCATATCAGAACTCATGACCATGGGTTGAAGCAGACATTTTGGATCAGTATACTGTGGCTTGTTGCAGGTGATGGCGAAGCTGATTGGCTCAGAAGGAGAGAGTGACACCCATAACCTCACCGACCAAGACAAACCTGTGTTTGAGCGTGGGTCTGTGGACGTGTTTCTGCTGGCCACTCCATATCCTCTGGGTGAACTTAAGAATCTGCGCTTACAGCATGACAACTCTGGAGGACGGCCAGCTTGGTATTATACTGAACTTAAGCAACAATAGGAGTGGACCACAGTCAATGATAATATACTCAATAATCTGTATAGGTACATAAACCGAGTGATCATTCAAGACCTACAAACCAAGAATGTCTTTCACTTCTTCTGCGACTGCTGGCTGAGTGCTGACAAAGGAGATGGAATGACCAAGAAAACATTCAACGCAGCAAAGAAGAATGAGGTTGCCAGTTTCAGGTTAGACAACCTCAGCTTTTCGTCACTGTTGTTTTTATACATTATTCTTTGTATTGTCATAAATTACTGCGACTGACAATAAGGTATTTTAAGCATACTTTTAATAAATAATCAGCATTCTTCTGTTGATAATTTAATAAGGTTTCTAGGTGATCATTTATTAATTAATGTGTTAATATCACTGTAGTAGGTTATTTTAGAAGTCACTTGCAAACAGATCTAAACTGGAACTAAACTCAAATCTAAACCTGGACTAGATTAGAACTAAACCTGGACTAGAACAGGAACAAATCAAATCAAATCCACAAAGGGACTAAAACTCTTATCCTGGCTCAAACCGGGAAAAGACAAGAATTTTTTTTTTTTAAAAAGCTACTACTACTACTACTAAATAATAAAAAAATAATCAGATCTTTTTGTCCTCAGAAATATCTTTACAAACCGGACATCGAATGGCTTCAGGGATGAGCACATCTGGGTGTCTGTGTGGGACCCTCCCTCACGGAGCCCCTTCACCCGGGCACAGAGAATCTCCTGCTGCATGTGCCTGCTCCTCTGCACCATGGCCATCAACATTGCCTTCTGGAACCTACCTGTCAACGAAGACTCACCTGTTGTCCTGTCTATAGGTGATTTACTTTGATAAGGGTTCTCTGATGTGTATAAAATAAGATGAAAATGTGTTCTTACTGTTGTGGTAAGAAACCTGAGGTGCTTCTTGTGAAGAGGGTGAAGTAAACAGAGGTGGATAGAGTAGCTAACAATTGTACTCACTTAGAAGTACTTGTAATAGTTGCTGTCTTATTGACTTGTAATTTGATTACTGCAATTAATAGTAGGACAAAACATGAAATAATATACAAAACAACAACATAATGAACAGTTGAACAATTCAAAAGATAAACCACAATTTAAAAAAACAAAACAAAAAAAACAAACTAAATCATATCTGAAGGAGCAACGCCAAAATGTCATTTAATATAATATTCTCAACCTAAAGCTCATGTAACTTGTAATTAACCCAAAGTTGGGAGAGTAACAAAAACGTTTCCCCAGGTCGTACACTTTTTACTGGTCAATACATATGTGTCTTGATTGTTCTCTGTTAATTAATTTAATTAAGTATGCATTTTTGGTATATGGGTTATGGGTGTGCATGATCGTGAAGTTGGACATCATTGCTTATTCCCATAATTAAACTTTATGAACTTTCTTCAACAATGTGCAATGTACAGGGATAAAAGTCTTATGTACTTAATAGAATAAACGTTGCAATCAGCCTCCTACTCTTGCTCTCCTAGTCCACTCATATACGAAGAGTGGTCTATACGAAGGTAGAACAATAAGTAAAAACATGTGTGTGGGTTGAGAGGCAAAATAGCTATGTTGACTGTATAAAGAAGGTTATAGATACAGCCTATGTTTGTAGCACTGGACTTGTTTACGGTGAAAGGCTAACACTCTTTTTATTGTGTTTGTGTAGGGTTTCTGGAGCTCACCTGGCAGGAGATCATGGTTGGCATCCAGAGTGGCCTCCTCATGTTCCCCATAAACATCTTAATCATCACTATTTTCCGTAGCATCAAGCCTCGCATCGTCCCCAAAAAAGAAGCTGACGAGGAAATCATGAAACCCCCCCCTGTTTCCATACCAACCATTTTAAAGGTTTGTTTGCCGGTGTAATTGTAACATGTGGTGACCCTGTCAGTATGTACCCAAGCGCATTTTGCCTCGAGGTACTATTATATGCCAGAAACCTATGCTGACCCTAGCTGCTGTGTTCAGGAAACGGAGGAGATGATTATGATGGTGAGCCAAAGTCCAAGAAATAAGATGTCCCAGTCGAATCATCTGGAGTCTAGCGCTGATCTCTGCCCAGCCTTGGAGAATGTGCATGAATTCATTCAGCTTATGCAAGGTGGGTTGCAGGACTTTTGCAGGGGATATAGAGCATTGTTGCATAAAACAGATTTCCCCAAACTTTATTTTCCTCAGCTAAAATAAATATTGGTTAGCAGTCCAATGACAAAACATAAAAAAATATTCTTTTTGTTATAATTATTTATTTTACTATTTTACTATTTTAATACATTGGTATGCAACTTTAAATTCTGTTTTGTACAAGCTGTATAAATGTATGTATTTTATTCTATATTTCTGTCTTTTTTTATTATTAAAAAAAATTCTCTGTCACTTCCCCTCAGGTGAGACCCAAAGCGACTCGCACTGGGTCTACTGCAGTAAGTTCCTTCTGTGTGGCCTCAGTCACCTGCTGCAGTGCCTGGAGAAAATGGACGCCAAAAGCTTCCCCACCACATACGAGTACCAGCACCTCCTCACCACCACCAATCTCCTGGTCCGAAAGGCTGAGATGGTCTTCACCAGCCACCTGGCCTACTGGTTAGTCCTAGGATGTAATTACATGAGAGAGATGGGTCTGTTTAATGTGTCAGTGTTAAGTTTTACATAATTAGAGCAGTGGTTTACAATCTGGGGGCAGAGATAGGAGCGGGGGTCCTCAGAGCTCCTCAAAGTCACATTTTATTTCTTGTAATAAATAAACATAAGATCGCAGTGATATCTGCTTAATACCGAATGCCCTATGCCTGGTTGAGACATATAATCACTGCATTAACTCTATTGCAGTCCGCCTCCACCGAAAGCGGTGAAAAAGAAGCGCGGATCATCATGCTGGCTGCCCTGGTGGTGTGTGTTCATTGGCTGGTTCTTGCTGTTCGCCATCAGCGGGATCTCCACCTACTTCACGCTGATCTATGGTTTTGAGTACGGCAAAGACAAATCAACAAAGTGGGTCATGTCCCTGGGTCTTTCACTGTTTCAGAGCATCTTCATCCTACAGCCGCTAAAGGTGGGTTTGCTTCCTGTGGTAGTATATGCAAACAAATCAAAATCACAATTTGAGCAATTATCAAATCACAAAGGTTGCAGTTGTTTAGTTCTTTGCAGAATGTCCTCTGCAAAGAACAAAATATCCTGTAGTTTGATGTTCAAAAATGCATGGGGTTCTTCTTTCAGTTTATCAGTTCATTATTTCATTCTTTCCTCAAATGTTAAGGCTCCCGGAGTTGTTTTCACTGTGCAATCTGAATAGAATCCTACTTTTAAAATATAAATTGCAATTAATTTTTTCCCTGCATTGTGCAGCATACCAACTGTTAGTTCTATTAAGCTCATAAATTGCCCATATTAAATAAGTAGTTATGAATAGTTATAATGTGAACGGTGGTGATGTGTGAAAGTGTAAATACTATTTTTTTTCTGAAGGTGATCGGCTTTGCTGTGTTCTTTGCTCTGCTGCTGAAACCTGTTGCTATGGAGGAGACTGAAGAAGTAGAGCAAGTGCTGCTATGTAAGACATTTTTACATTATTGAATCTGGTTTTACTTTTCACTATAATTTCTAACACGAAGAGAGGTAGTATGTTTTATATATTTGTGGATATCCTTCCAAAGACCAACCATATAAAGTATATCTGACTTTAGGTGGGGCATAAAATATTTAAGAGGGCACAGGAATATAAAGGGAATAATGTGTCCCAACATAACAATCACACATTTATGATTTCATGTACCGTTATGTCTCTTAAAGGTGCACTGTGCAACTTTTCTGATGGAGGGTTTGCAATCAGCTCTCATGGAAATGTTTTGCTTTGCCTGGGATGTTACACAGTATGGTATTAATCTAATATATTGTATTTACAAAATTACAGGCTTTTGTATTTCTCAAAACTACAGTAAAAACAAGCATTATTACTGTGAACAGGCCCACATCTTCACAGATCTGACGTGTAACTTGGCCTAGTTAAATTAAATGTCATCCTGTAGAACATTCCACGGAAAAATATTAAAGATCTACATGGAATCACTAATCAGAAACATTACACAGTGCACCTTTAAATACAAACTTCCTTTCTATAAGTTACAAAGCAGTCCGCTGTAGGCCTGTCTCATACAGTATAAATCAGTGTGACTTCCAGGCTATTACATAATACATTGTACAGGAGCTGAAATGACATTGTTTCACTAAGTGGATGACTTCTGTTGAAACATGCCTGTTTCTTTTTACAGCACAACAGGACAAGTGCAGACGCTACACTGGCCGGGACATTTGAAGAGACACTTGGCAGTTCACTTTTTAAACATCTTTTTGCACTTAAGGGTAACACTTAAAAATGTCTCCACAGTTTAATCCAAAAATATTCATGCCTTGGCTGAATTTGAATTGTTTCTCTGTTAATCCTCCTGAAAGGGGTTGGGTGATGTTGCAAAAATCAGGACTAATGTTTTCTTAGCCTATTGGTCATCATTTCAACTTAAGAGCAAATTAAAGCCACTGGATCTGCTTTACAGATGTCAAACCCCACTGTGATTGGTTAAATTTACCTGTCACTCAGAGCATGACACTGCTGACCAATAGAAGTGGACAGTGTCTGTTTTTGAGTATAAAATCAACCATAAAAACAAGGATGACAATGTAACATTTTCCATCCACTATCCAAACAGCGCTAGATCAGTTCAGTGTAATATCATCATGCCTCACATACAAGCAGATAAAAGATTCTGGTCTTGGATACTTAGAGATACTGATTCTTTCCTGTTCCCACCCAAGAGCTTTGATGCCATTTTCAGTTTTTGATAGAATGAAGCCAGAGCATGAATATATTTGTGATTAATTAAAAAGAAAATACTGTACATAATACTGTGATATTTAATATTTAATGCAGTAGCTACTAGAAACCTTATGTTTAATTTATGCAAATGTGATAGAAAGGTTTAATTTATTCTCCTCACAAATCAAATAGAAAATTACAATTCAAACCATTACATTTCAATAAAATATAATATTGGGTCTGAGTTTTTGAATTCAGAACTAGCCAAAAGCACACTTACTCAAACACAATGCTATATTCTGAATAAATATTATGATGATTTAAATATACTTGTATATTATACAAGAGAAATATACAAACGGGTGCCTGTATTAATTTTTCTGTGTGAAATTGATGGATTGGGCCGTTAGTTCACTGTATAAAGTATGATTTATGTGTGTAAAGCTTTAGCAACGCAACCTACCTGTATGACATGTTTTGAAATATCACAATGAATGTTTTTGTAAATATTTACCTTAATGGGCTTCTGATTAAATGAGTCTCGCTTTGCACTGCCACTGTCAGTTCTAATAACATCACATTCAGGGCCAAACACTGCTGAAGCTAGAACATGAACTTTCACTTAAGTTGGTGGTTTATGTAACATATAAGAGAACTGATTATTAATTTATTACTTTTTTCCAATATCTGTCCATCATCATAATAGATGCTGAAGGTTCATAGCAAGGCTGTACTGACAGACTGTACTTACCTCTGTTCTTTGGTAGGGTGTGGTTTACTTATGCAGATCCAGCTCCGGCTGATCTGTTTTGTGCAATTAAGTAATTTATCTCTGATTGGTTTAAAATGTGTGACAACCAAACATTTAATTCACTTATTCCTATTATGTGATGTAGCTGTCTGTAGTCTGACCCAGCAACTATGGGTCTTTGGCAACCATGACAACCATTTACTCTCAATCACTGGTTACAATTTACTCTGGGAAAAAACCTTGAGTTTCTTGAAAAAAGCTGAGAGGAAAAATAATTTGTGTTCAACCTACATTTAAAAGAGAGGACAACTAAAAAATACTGAATACCACTGGCAAAAACATATTTTAAAGAAAAATATCTATATCTATGCGATTTTATAATTTGCATTGTTAGTTTTACACTGTTGTTCTGTTCCTATTGTATATTTTACACCTCATTGTATGCATGTCTTTATTTTATCATATATTTAATTATAATTATTCATTGTTTTAAGTTGCTCCATGTCACCAAAGCAAATTCCTAGTTTGTTGATTTTGTTCACTTACAATGGCAATAAAGTCTTCTGATTCTCATTATGCTTTTGATTACTTTGTTTTTATTTAGATTACATGGACCACAAGGTCCACAATAAATACATCTAAATGGAAAAAATTAAGATGGTCATCCAGAACCATTTATCATCTGCATACAGTTTGAGCCTTCTGTAACTTTTTTTTAATATATCTTCTGCTTTCATTGATGGTTTTGTGCAACATTAATTCCAAAACTTGAATATTTCATGGAAAATAACAACTGTTTGATTATACAGGCATAATATATACAAAAAAATATAATAACAACAACAACCTTTAGTTATTTTTCAAATGAATCATAGGGCTGAGAAATATCTGAAATATCTTCTGTAATATCTGTGAGAAAGTCTTACACAAAGCCAGTGCATTCATCAAAAGTATTATTATTATCTATTAAAACTAGACTCGGAAATCAACTTTAGTTCACACGAATGTTTGACCTTAACCCACAGTCATTTACTTGTACAAAGGCAACGTAAAAGGAGATGATGATGGAGCTATTTTTCTTGAGGGAGGGTTCATTCACCACACATTTCAGTGTTATTGTCCCTGAAATTTCCTGCTTCAAAAAGATAATGACAGTTATTTCAGCAAATAACTTGCATGACGTCACATGTGGAGGGTGCATATAAAAACCTTTAAAATAAAAAATATATTGAAGAGGAAGTGGGTGGAAGTAAAATGTCTTCTGTATGTTTTCCAGACACACTAGCCATACACAACCTAAAGTACATAAGCACGTCCCTTGTGTTCTCAGTGTTGGTGGTGGTACAGAGGAGGATGAGCATAACCTATAGGCCTTCTTGTCTCCATGGAGATTCTAAGTCTTTTCTTGTAATGTTCCACATATAATGTTAAACTTATCCCATCTTGCACTTTTCAAATACCAGTAAGCTTATTTTTATTGCTGAAAAATACCTTGAAACACATGCATTTTCACTGTGAGTGGGGTAGCCTCTCCATCTGTACCTGGTGGTGTCGCCTTGGACTTAGACTTAGGTAGTATTTATTGATCCATAAGGGAAATTACTTGGACACAGTAGCTCACACATCACAATTTATTACAATAGCAAAAAGTAAAAAAATATAATGTAATAATAATGTTGTGTTGACTTCATGGCGATAAAGTTTAACCTAGAGTGACCAGACGTCCCTATTTACCCAGGATAGTCCCAGTTTTGAGCCCTGTGTCCCCTGTCCCAGCAGACTTAATCAAACTCAGTGATTTGTCCCAGTTTTCTACAATTTCTCCCCATTTCTGACCAATTTGATCCCCACCAACAGTAAAGAGGGGAATATATTGTCATTTCGCTACCTAAAATATAGAAACCAAGCTTGAAAATTACAATAAGACCAAAAAAATGCAACAACAGTCCCTCAGATTATGACTGTCCCACAAGTGAGTCAAAAAATGGACAATGTTACGCACTCTTTTCACAGTTCTATTTATGCCAACCATCCCAACCCAGGTGTGTCCTCAGTTTTTAATTCTGAAAATCTGGTCACTCTTTTAACCTCATACTGTGGAACATTTCAGGTCAGGAAACACCATAACATCTCTCCACGGAGACAAGCAGATGGTATCAAAAAGCACTGCCTCACATTTCTCATTGGGTCCCAGAACTTCCATTCATTGTCACTGAAGAAGTAGTCCTAGGTGAGATGATGACTTCAAAGCAAACATACACCCCAAACCTCCATTTGCTTCAGACATGTTCCATTATTGACCTATGCCGATTGTATAACCTCACAGATCAATACAGGGCACAGAATGGATTTAGATAAGAGTCTCCCAGTCAGATACATCTTCAGTATTTCAGCTTGGTTTTAATGGGGAAAGCTGTGTGACTCTGGGTTTTACTTGACAACGAGGACCCCTGCTGTTCACCATAAGTAAAACATGCAGTGTTGACGTAGGCTACAAAACAATAATTACTTAGAGATAGAATAACGAGTGAAGTTCCTTCTATAAATAAACTGCCTAATATGGTGTCAACTGTTTAAGATACAGTAGACATGAAGATGCGGGTAAAAAGGCCAAATTTACCAGTTACAATAACATTAGCCAATATTACTTGTTCTCTCTGTCACTCATTATTAGATAATTGCAATTCCTTTCTTCCTTTCTTAATTATAGGAAACATCATCTTCATAACTCGATGCATGTTCCGTAGTTCAACTTAAGGAGACAAGAAGATTACGTCACCGAGCCAAGTTATAGGTCAATAACAATATCAGTCTTGCTCTAACGTGATACTAAATTCATTTGAGTTTAAATGTCATGTCCATTTTTCTTGCTCCAGTATACTAAAGAGACTACAGCTTACACACTTGTATTCAAGTTAAAGTAGTATTTATTAAACAGTTTCAATTTACATTTACTCTTTTTATTTATTTTATTATTTTTATTTTTTGCAATAAGACACGATTGTGTGTCTTAAGTTGTAGTATGAAAGAACAGTCCCAAATAGAAAAGACAGCGTGATCACAGTTCTGTAGCGTGGATAATCTCAAGGCTCTTTACAACATGTTAAGAACAAATGGTACTCGTCTAAAACGTTGTTTACTGCGTCTTTTCCTGAGAAAACTCAGTCCCATCAAAGACACATTTCATTTGCAACGCAAAACACATGGGCGTGGCCAGATCAGAGCGTGACATCAACAACCAAACGTATTGTGTAGCTATTTGAACTCTACTAACTTGGGGCACATTTAAAAAGAGTTATTTTTAGACTAAATAAATTAAAATACACATTAAAAGTGAACAAGGCCTCAATGAGAAACTAAGGCTGGTGTGCACATACAGCAGTTACACTTGCAGATTTCATTCATCACAGGGGCTTCTTCTTTTATGTAAATAGATGTATTTTTATATATCACAGATTCTTAACTAACTAGTTCAATTAAGGTCATTAGGTTTTGTGTTATAATCATGCTTTAGATTCTTATGTACAGGTTTATTTCATACCGTGACAGTTTGGGCTGCACTCTACCACCTTCCTCAACACCATGTGACTCTACTGAGGAAGGAGGGGAAGTGTAACTATCTGTTCACTACCTGCAAAACATCTTAAAATAGAAAAAATTGTTTTCCATTGTCATTGGAGTGCTTTTTTACTGAGAAACACTTTAATGTCACTGCCATTGCATTCAGATATATAGAGCATTATGTCATCAGTGATCTCAACAGCAGGTTATATTAAAAGCCAGTTCAGACTATATGGGCTTGAGAAAACCAAACCTGTTGAACTAGTCTGACTGAAGTCTGTAGCATGAATCACAGTGGCACCATGAGAGAAGGACAATAAGGCATGGAAAAGAAAATGACTCTGGTAAACCCCACATAACACAAAGATAATACATCATCAAGTAGGTTAAAGGGCTAGTATAAAAGAACATACTTTAAATGAATGGATATGCCATGTCATGATTAATAATGATTCTTAATTATTAACAAATGAATTAATAATTAAATCCCTGCTTTGATAGGGATTGACAAGGTTAGATAGGCCACCACCCCTCTCAGTTAAATGGTCATTTTGGTCTAGATGAGGTACAGATTTATGTAAAGAAAAATCTGAACTGAGGCTGATAAGATTAAATATGTTCTATTTTCCTATTTATATGTGTTTGAAAATGCACTGAACCATTTAGGTCTTCTTCTTGAGCTCTTCAAACCTTCGTGTCAAATCATCAAAATCAATGTCGTCTGAGGATGTTGTTTTTCCACCAAATGAAGACGCGGGGAGAGTGTCAGGAACTGAAGGCAGCTCTGGCAAAGCATTGCTGTCGAATCCAGGAGGGGAAGGACCAGAAGCTATCATAAAACAGAGAAGTAAACCACAGGTGAGACACAAGTGAAAATAAGATTATCACACACTTGAACAAGTACTCACCAACAGTCTGCGAAGGGGCAGAGGAATTGTCATTTAAGTCATCAATCTAAAAGACAAAATGTGTTAATTTTCATATTTTTTTAAATGGTTGAGCATTATATATGTTAGTAATTCTGTTGCATGACCTTGGTTAGGTTAAACATGAGAATCTATAAAATATCTTAGTTTCAGTTAGTACTAATATGAACCTAATGCAGCTGAAATTTAGTGATGATATTGTGATTTTCCACAAAGATGTCAATGATTAGTCATTGTCAATGATGTCAATGATTAGTCATTGTCAATGATGTCAATGATTAGTCATTAGTACACAGGTTTAGACGACAGGTAAAGCACCAAGAAACTGTTCTTCCCTGAGTGGTGCCCTGTCCGTCTGTCCAGCTGTAGGAACAGGGAGGGGGCATGGGGACGGAGCGGTCACTTACGGACTCGTATGTGGGGGGAGAAGTGGGCAGCTGAGGGGGCTGCCCTCCTCCCATGGGGGGCTGGAAGTTGTTGTAGGTCCCAACAGGGGCACCAAATGGTTGCTGAAAGAAAAAAATATAATAGACATCTTTCAAATGAGCCCCAAAAATACAGCTGAATGTTCAGTTGACAAAGATAAGCTAAGATTCTGTTTTAGTAGCTCTTACAGCTCCTTTGGGTGCAGGATAGTTGAAGGCTGTTGGCATGGGCATGGGCATGGGCATCGGGCCCATGGGCATTGGAGCCATTGGAGCAGTGAAGCCACCGCCACCGCCGCCTCCTCCACCACCTCCCTTCCTGTCATTGTGCACATCAATCAGATCAGCCTCTTCCCCAGGACACACCTCCGGCTGTTAGGGCACAGGTGTATTAAAACACATGAAAGGAATACATTATTTATCTTTGGGATTTGGGGTTTGGGGAAAACTCACATGGACCATGGCATCAGGCTCGTATGGCACATTATAGTTCTTAGCGATCTCTATCAGGTAACGCTCCACAAGAATTTTAGGAGGGGCCTCGACACTCATTTTATGCATCAACTGGAAACACAATATATGTTTATGATATCAAGAAAAGCAGAACTGAACACACACTATACAACAACTCACCCTTTCATTAACAGTTCCAATCTGATTTGTCCTGCACAGTTTCCCATACTCCTTACTGTATTTTGCACACAGCTGTTCAGACACCTGAAAGAGGATAACAGCCATAAAGTCAACAAGATATACTTTATATTGTACATTTGGAAATCGGCCTTACAGTTTTAAGCTCAGTCACTTCACATTGAAGACGTGGGGCTGCCCAAATGAGAGTAGAAACCGCCTCTTGTAAGCCTGGATCCAGCTCTCTGAAAATAACAACACATGAATGTAAGACACTGAAGACGACAGAACAAAAAGCATAGACGAAAAGACAGTGCTGGATTATCTCACTTCATTGATTGAATGAGGCCAAATCGAGCCAGGAGCAGGTCACAGTACAGCTCCAGGATCTCCATAGCCTCCACCAGATAGTCTTCTCTGATGATCTGCTCCACTCGGATCCGTGCCCTCTCATCTTTACCTGACGATAGGTAATCAGCAATCTCCTTCCGAGCCTTCTGAGCAAGCTCAGCTTTATTTAAAAAGAAAACACAAGTGTACAGTGAAATAAAGCGTACCGTCTACTGTACTGTACAGTAGACAAAATACAAGCTCATAAATGACCAACACTTACTTTTCTTTTTCTCCAGAAGCTTCAGTCTACTGATGGCAAGCTTTAGATTGATACTTAGCCTATTTGCTTTAAAGCCTCCACCAAGCATTTTATCAGTCTACCTGTGAACAAAAGTGCAAAGCTACATCACTAAACCCAACCTGGGCTCATATGACTCATCGGATCATATGAGCAGGACATGCCAAACCCACTACGTTACTACGGTCACTAAATAGCTCTAGATTCAGTATTTTACAACTGGTCAGATGTTAAATTGACCACTACATACGACTGAATTAACATTAATAAGAAACGTTCAGGTTAACAGTTAAAACATTTAAAAGACGCGTTAAGCAAGAAATGTGTCAAAATTGACGATAGGAATACAGCTTTGTTAACTTTTCTAACATATCCTAAACAAGTGAAGGATATATGACCACTTGTCAGCCAGGGTCCCTGCTCTATTATTCACTTTGACTCATTTTTACGAAATTAACCTTTGCTTTGTTCAATCTATTCTGTCATCGTTCTTGTTAGCTGCCTAGCCTCAAAAAATGCTAGCGCGAAAACAACTGACACCAACTTGGTAAACGAGGAATAATACACGAACACAACAATTAATCCACGTGTGAAATATAACTGTCAAAACCAAAAAGACTTACCAGGAGCAACTAAGCAGATTTAAAGACCACTTTTAAGAGGTTAGGGTTTAGTGTTTAGTTTTCGCCGAGTTCACTTCCGTGTTATGCGTTGTGTGCGTGACGTCGTGGGACTTTTTCTCAGTGGGCGGGCTCTGCGCACGTCCGTCAATCCTGTTTACCAAAATAATTGTTATTCATATGATTAGGGTGACCAGATATTCAGAATTCAAAACTGTGACACACCCGGGTTGGGATGGCTGATATAAATAAAATTGTGAAAAGAGAGATAATTGACCATTCATAACTTTGTGGGTCAATTTTTGTTTTCTTGTGGTCATTTTCAAGCTCAGTTTTCTGTGTAGCTAAACAAATGACAATATATTCCCTTCTTTACTGTTGGTGGGTATCAAAGTGGTCAAAAACAGGGACACCTGGGACATTACTTGTATAAAACTGAGGCAAATCAATGGTTTTGGATAAATCTGCTGGGACAGGGACACAGGGCTCAAAAGTGGGACTGTCCTGGGTAAATGGGAACGTCTGGTCACCCTACACACTATTGAGTGTATGTAAGTATTGGCCGCACTTTCTATCACAGCTCTTAAAAGTAAGATTTTTAAGAATGTAGTTTTTGTCTTAATTACTTCCAACGCAGGAGGTTAGAACATGCTGGAGGAGCTCTACATGTATCTCTATGGAGGAATGGTCAGCAGTTACCACAGTGACAGAATGTGAACATTAACAAACACTGTTAAAAAAGATTGGGATTGTATGAAAACTCAAGAAAATATACAAAATGGATTTAAACAACACTTTTTCAGGAGGCTGTTGATAAATTTGAGCGTTCATGGTTTGATTTGAGAGTGACTGAATTAAAAAGTTGGCTAATGCTGGATAGCTTATGACTGTAATGTGAGAGAGATGTGTTAAACAGTACAAATCAGCTCACCTGTTATAGTCCCAGCTAAGACAGTTCTTATGGCCAGATTGATTTGAGGTTTGTTATAACACAAAGTCTAATTTGAGTATGCCTTCTCAAATTCCTCATTAAGAACGATAATAATCATAACACATTTGACTTTGGTAGCAAATGAGACATTTATATTTTATAGGATGATATATCAAAAAAAACTGTACAATAAAACAACCATTACGAACTGTTCATTACAATTTGAGCTTGCTGGCAGACACCTCTTTGTGTTTCTTCTTTTTTGATGACTGGTCTTTTGCACTTTTGATTTGGCTTTTGACTTGATGCTGGAGCTCGGAGAAAAAGGCTTGAGAGGATCGTAATGCTTTGTCCTTTCCTTCGTCCTGAGCCACAAACCCAAAGTTAATAAAATGTAAAAAAAAAAAAAATGAATGCAATACCAACAGTAACGGTATTAGACTCTTACTTTGAGCAGTGTAGCTTTGCCCCCTTTTGTGAGTTTCTTCAAATCTTCAGTGACTTTGGTCTTAGATGGCTTTTTATTTTGTCCAGTTTGTTGGGCCTCTTTGAGTTTCTGTCTTCTTTCTTTCTCTTGAATTTTAAGACGCTTCACCTTCTTCTTGTGACGCCTCTCACGCTTTTTATCTGTTGTGGTCTTTTCAGTGTCACCTAAAATATCACCTGCCTTGTTCTTTTCCTAAGAGTGTAAAAATATTGTCAAAACACAAGATTTATATAATCAAAATTAGTTTTAAAAGGCTTTATAAAACAGTAATAGTATTTGTATAGTCTTAAAAAGCATACAAAAGACCAGCATTTTTTACATAAAATTACCTTTACTTCTTCTGGAGCAAGTAATGTGGCATCACTGACACTGACTGGAGCCACCTCCTCCATTGCGATTGAGGGTAAGTTAGAAACCACTTTAACCTCTGGAACAGACTGACAGCAAAAAAAACCCCAAAAACATCTCAGTACTGTATAATATATAAAGCATGTTATCATGTTATGTACGATAAGAAGATTTTGAATTTACATAATACATATTTCAAAGATTTATAAAACTACAAGACTTACTGGTTTGGGAGTGAAGTGGAAGTTGGAGAGAGCATCTAACTTAAGGAAAAGCGTGTCCATGAGCTTTTGAATCTCTACATGAGCTGGATTTTCCTCTTCTTCTTTTTTTTGCTAAAATGTATTAAAATATAGGATCACAGAAGACAACACATTCAAATATATTATGAAGAGAATAAATACCTGGATCTTTTTGATATATTCTTGTTCATAGACTTCTGCTAAGCTTTGTTTGCTTTTCTCATGATCCAAGGTTAGCCTTTTCTTATACTCAAATACTTCCTCTTTGGGTTTCTCTTTGCGGACCACATCATCAAAAGCCTTTAATGAAGCCAAAATTGGATTGGTCAGATAGTCAAATGCAAAAGGTCAAATCTTTATACAGTTAAGTTAGTCAACACTAACCCCATCTTTAATTCTCTGTTTGATGATGTCTTCAAGTTGGAGAGTAGTCTCTTCTGTGATTGCAGGTGCTGAAAAAACATCAGAATAGCATTTAGGTAGAAGTTAAAGTTAAATTCTTTAAAATAATATCAAATTGAACTACTGACCCATCCTGGAAGACTGTTCAAACTCGACATCCTCCTCGAGCATACTGTTCTCTGGGCGAGCCTGGGCCGACACTTCACCAGTCAGCTGCCACGGCTTTTCTGCCAATGCCGCTTTCTCCAGCTCACTGATTTTCTCTGACATCTACACAAACAATTCATTGGTTCAACAACACTTAGACTAACTAATAAGTACGGCTCAAAGCTCTCTATTATGTTATATCTATTATATTTTATTAACTTACAATAGTAAATGTTTAGATTATGTATAAAAAGACAACGAACTTGCAGACATTAAAAGCACCAATAATCATAAGTGTCAGCTTCCTACATTTGGGTCATTTTGAGTAATTTTGACAATTCTTTTTAAATTTATACTTAATTGCCATATTTTACATGACACCAAAGATAACATGCAGTGGTTGTTACAGTACCTTCTCTTGTCTCTTTTCAAATGGTGATTTTGATTCACTTTTGGCCGAGTTAGCAGACTTTCCACCAAATATTTCCTCCATATCCTCTCCTTCACTTTCTTCATCCCCAGAAAGGTTGAACATCACTTTCTTCTGTTTGTTCTTGGATCGTTTTTGTTCCTCATTCCTAATAATTGAAAAGCCAAAATGTGTAACTAGTTTTAGAATACGATAGCAGACAGACAGGTAGAGACATTGCTCAAAACTCATATGCAGACATCAGAGAAACTGGATTCACAAACAACTCAATAAATACTATTCAGCCCCAATGCCATCTCTCATTATCAAACTAAGGTGCTTAGCAAACCAAACACTACAGAAGTATTAAATGTGTCCTTCTTACTTCCCATCTTCTTCCTCTTCTGCTTCATCACTTTCATATTCATCATCATCATCCTCATTATCTTCTTCATCTTCTTGATCCTCGTCACCATTCTCTGAATCGACATCTGCTTTCGCCATTTCTCCCTCTACAGAATCAAAGTAATCATTGTACTTCAGATTCCTGGAACTTTTTACCTAAAATAAAAAAACTGACAGTTATTTATTTTTCTATTTAGCATGAAACACAAATATAAATAGAAGTCCATACATTGATTTTGTTTTTCTTCTTGGACGAAATCATCTGCTCCAGATTCAGCTCATCCTCTTCATCTGATGGTAAGTCCTGGAAATAGTCTACATCATCTTCATTGTCATTGTCCTTTCCTTCCCGTTTGTCCATATCATCAAGAAATGACTCCATATCTGACAATTTAAAGAACTTATCATCAACTTCAGAAGGAATCCCATGTGTTTTGGACTTTTTTCCATCAGTCTTTTTCTTAAGTTTTTCTCTTTTTTCCAGAGCATCAACATCAAAATCTAAATCTGAGTCCTCCTCTGTATATTCATCTACACTATCATGTGTCTTTTTCTTAGTTTTTCGTGTTTTCAACTCTTCTTCTTCCTCCTCCTCCTCGTCGTCTTCCTCTTCTTCTGCCTTCTCATCATCAGACGCTTGTACGCTCTGATCTAATTCCTCCTCATCTTCCTCATCCTCATCTTCATCTTCCTCAAACATAGTTAAAGTCTCATTGGACACAATATCCTCAACAAACTGTTCAAAGTGTTGTAAAACAGGGTCATTTTGTAGCTCCAGCTCCTGCCAGATCTGCTCCTCATCAAAGTCTTTCACGGCCAACTGCACTAGTGGACTCCCTTTAAAATGTTGAGGCTCATGAGCCTTTTGAAGGTCATAAAGGGTCTTTGTTATTGAAGTGAAATCCGCAGCCACATCATCTTGAAGACTAGGAAAGACAAATGAATGAGGGTGAGGTGGTTTATTGTCATGCTATCACAAATCTGGTATTATGGTAATATGTGAATTGATTAACACGAGAGCGTTTATTTATGAACACTGCTGGGTATAATTTCCTAATAAAGAATAAATACTGGAATTTGAACTGTTATTTCAAGAGATCTTCCTTACAATAAATAACCATTTGCTGTCAAAGAAACATACACGGATGCTACAAGGCTGTGCTAGCTTGGCTACTAGCCGGGTGCATTGATTTGCTTTACAATTTGACCGCTGTTAAAATAGATTTTGCAGCTAAAAATAAAAATATGTTTCACTTACCTAAGAAAATTTTCTAGGTGTGTCGTGTTGACATTTATTTTCTTTACACATTCCTCCAACACGCTTTTCCACTCTCCACTGGCCATTTTTCCCACATGTGTATCTCGTGGTGTCGCAAGTAAACAGGCTCTACCACACACTCAAGCGGCGATGTTTGGTTCCGGGGAACAAAAATGGCGTCCACTGTGCTGAAGGTTGCAGGTTGGTTTTCGACAACGAAAACACCACATTCTTACTTCAGAATTCAAACTTGAAAAAGATGTTTGGGTAATATTTGATCTCACCTCAATAGCTATTAGGAGTGAAACGCAAGTGAAGTAGAGCTATGTTTCTGGTAACGTCTCTTAACTGTTCTCAAGATGACAGAAGAACAGTCAGAAATATATAGAACAAAACAACAACAAACAACACCGAAAGACCTTAATTTATTGTTTAGGTTTGTAGCAAAACTTTATTTCCTTATTCCTTGGTATATGGCTAAATATAACGAAAGTTTGGCTTTTTAAAATAAAAAACAAATAAGGAAATGTACAAAGGACCTGACCAAACCTGAGAGATGAAGATCATAGTCACTGTTACATTTAGGTCTTTACAGTTATGCATATTTGAATTGTCTTTAAAGCATGTGTATTTCTATTCGCTTGTACTTAAGTAAATAATTTTGTAACTTTGATCCACAGCTTTTTCCAGATGTTGTCGTCCCACCTTGATGAGAGTGTACTCTAAAACAGCACCTCTTTATCAGGGGGTCCCAGGAGCTGTGTGGAAACTGGGGAGACTCAACCACATCGCCATCGCAGTGCCTGACATGGAGAAGGCCACCTCCTTGTACAGAGATGTGCTGGGGGCATCTGTCAGTGACAAGGTGCCTCTTCCCGAGCATGGCGTCTACACTGTGTTTGTGGAGCTTGGTAACACAAAGCTTGAGCTGCTCCACCCTCTGGGAGAGAAGAGTCCCATAGCAGGATTTCTGCAGAAGAACAAGTCTGGAGGGATGCACCATATTTGCATAGAGGTCAATTTTTATACTACTCTATTATTCTTTCAACTTAAATTATTACATACAACAGTGCATGGTGTCATAATAAGTAGCCTGTTACCTAACCCCCATCAATCCATTTGGGTTTGCTCTTTGCAGGTGGACAACATAAATGCAGCAATAGTAGACCTCAAAGCAAAAAACATCAGGACTCTCTCTGCAGAGCCACGTATCGGTGCTCATGGGAAACCTGTAATGTTTCTTCATCCTAAAGACTGTGATGGGGTGCTAGTGGAGCTGGAGGAGGCTTAACTTTGTGCCTTTATAAAAAGGAGAGACTCATGAATACACAAAATTCACAAATTAATTTTGATGGGGCTCAATGTAGAATTACAAAATGCAAGTCATAATTACTTAATTTTGTTTTCTACTTCTGAATGTGATCTAATGTCTCCAGAGTTTAATATTAAACATATATAAAGAACTTATTAAAAGCTAAAAAAAAAATACTCTTCTATCTTAAAATAAAGATAACCAAGCCAAGCTCAAAAGACCTTTCCAGAAGAATATAATGTGTCCACTATAATTAGGTTTTTTAAACTCCTCCTTGACATTCTTTTCATGTCATGTAAGGAAATTAGCAATGCTTAGCAGAAATAGAACTAAGGAACCCAACTTGGCTTCTTTTATTCTTTTGTTTGTAAAGCATTTGTGTGTCCAAAAAAAAGGTATATAAGGCTGATGTAATATTTATTTTGTGTGTTATTTTGTGATGTTTAGTTTTTTGAATAGCAGAATCTTGATCGATATTTACTAATCAATACAGTGTCAGGTCTGATTCATAATGGTTCTAAAATAAGACCATATGTGTTGATATCAAATTTTCTGATCTGTTTCACGTTACCTTCCTATGTATTTTGATACTCAATATGGAAGCCTAAGTCTGCATGAAGTAAGAAAAAAGTAAAAAAAAAATGGGAACCAGAGAGGTGTTTATTTGGTGATTTGTAATGGCCTCAAACACAGCAAAGGAAAAATTACAGCCAAAAATATATTCATTGCAAATACAAGATGTTGAGCAGGTTAAAACCCTTATTTACTATTATGATTTTATATATATATATATAGTTTTATGAGCTGAACATGGATATGGTTGATGCGGTCTCATGCAGATGGGGTATAAGTAAAACATTTAGAAGCAAATACATATACAATTACAAGTAAATTGACATGTAGTTTAGCTGCTTTCTTTGCCCAGAGTGTGCTTGTCAAACAAGTACTCTGCCATTCCGTTCTGTGGAGCACCCATGCGACGCAGGTTGGTCACCCAGTCACCCAGCTCTTTGATGGACTTCACCTGTTCATCCAGGAAGTGTGTCTCGATGAAATCACACATCTACAAAAAAAAAGAAGAATTACATCATTTTGTTTTTTTGGAAGTCACAATTTCTTATTCAGTTGCCGTGAGCAATAATCACGACTAAAGGTGAGTAGCAAACTTGGAAGATTCTGTAATTAGGCAAGATGTTTTAGTCTGGTCTGGAGCTGAAAACAGTTTATGTTTAGACTTTTGATTATGGAGTGAGCCTATACATTTACTATGTTTCTGCTTTTGGGTATTTATTCCTAATCTGCTCATTATAGCAGTATGATGTATGTCTTACATGTGGGTCGTTGTGCTCAGAGCAGAGTTTGTGCAGGTCGAGCAGAGACTGGTTGACACTTTTCTCCAGCTGCAGAGCACACTCCAGGGCCTCCACACCGCTGCCCCATTCGTCTCTCTCTGGTTTCTGAAAAGTAGATCAAGTCACAGTGAGATAAAAAAGCAACTGTGGGCGATGGTTTGGCCCTAGACAGAAATGTGTTTGACTATTTCTTAAAGCCGTTAACGTTTTACTAAAATGCATGGTTGCATGTGTGTGTGTCAAGGACAGATAAGAGACTGGGTACAGGGCACACCCTCTGTAAACTGTTTGCTGCTGTAACCCTCCCAATTACTGCCCTTTCAGAATTTCTTAAAGCAAATTTATGTAATTTAAATAAATAAAAAATGTTAACAACACCATACCCTGACATCTTGGAGGAAGATCCTTCCACCTCTCTGGTTTTGAAACTTCATCAATTTTTCAGCATGTTCACGTTCCTCGTGTGACTGGTTATGGAAGAACTTGGCAAAGTTGGGTAATGCCTGGTCATCCCGGTCAAAGTAGTATGACTGCAATGAGTCATTACAAAAAGTTAGAAATATGTTTGTGTAACTATGGTTGATTAGTCATGTGTTTTTATAAATACAAAGCAATTTAAAAATAAACCAAAAAAATGTGACCAGGTAGGTATATTAAACTACAGCTTTGCGTGTTGCTCTACATGATCTAATCTCTAAACGCACTTTAGCCTCACATTTATTGTGGGATCAGTTCACCTCAGATGTACGTCTGAGTAGTTGAGCAATAACCTCAAAAGTATTTACACATTTATATAAAAAATAAATCTAAGACTATTTAAACAATAAATAAATACGGCTTCATATCGGCCAGACATTCTATTTCGGTAATCATGGTGGTATAAAAATAATCATTTGCAAAAATAGCACAACACAACACTTTGTTCTGCTGGAGCCAGTACTGTACCACTGATACCTGTTATTTTCTGCGCATGAACTCTGACTCAGCATTTCGTCACTGAATCTTACCATAGACAGGTAGACGTAGGAGGCGTACAGCTCCAGGTTTATCTGCCTGTTGACTGCAGCCTCGCAATCCTGGTGGAAGTTCTGTCTCACCTGGGAACTCATGACTCTGAAACCAAAGTTAAACACAGTGTAAGAGCATGTACACAGTAGTGACCTGGGATACAATTACAGCTAAAATACCATTATTATTATTATTATTATTACTATTACAGCACTGGTGTTAAAGCACGGTTATTGATTAAAGTAGTAATTTTACTTGGGCCAACCATGTCTTGTGACCTGGCTTCACCCTGCGTATTGTTTATGTACTACCTTCTATGTTTACTCTGCACTTGTCAATCTCCGTGTTTTTCTGACAATGTTTCACAGGCTGCTTTTTTTTAACTACATATTTTTAAAAAGTCAAGATAACTAAATAGTGTGGCTGACCTTGGGTAAATTCATAGGAAAATGTTTTCATAAATCCAACAAAAAATAACACTGAAAGAATTTGGAGTGATTAAGTGATTATCATAATATTAGCTATACATGATAATATCTTTACATTTACGACATTTTATACTGCAAAAATATCGCTATTGTTTGAATACGATGACGAGACTAAGTTAACGTTTGTTAAATGTAAAAAACAAAAAAACAAAAACAGAAGTAACTGTAACATAGTACAGACGCTACACACATTAGATTTAGTTTAGTTGTTTTTTGTTTTTAAACAGAGATTAGATAAATGAGGGTTGTGCATGTTGTGTGCTACGCAGATGTGTGGCTCAGATAAAAAAGTGCGCAGAGCTGAGGGCGCCAGGCCACACACGGACAATAACATACAACAATCGACTAGAGCAGCAAAGCCCTAGCATTTAGCACACTCCAAAAGTGAATTAAAAAAACTCTCACAAAAAAACAAAAAAAAAACAAAACAAAAAAAAAACAGAAGGAATACTTACCACGTTGTTGTGTCTCGAAAGGGCTGAAAGATCGTCCTTGATGCCAAAACAAACCTCTTCAGCTAGCGAGCTGAGCGCGTACAACGTTAACGCTGATGGCTGACTTAAAATAAAGCAAAAATAGATGTTATTTAGCGGTAATTATCGACTGGTGGTGGCAGGAGACAGAGAAAGGTTGCCGTTCAAGCACTGTTGAAGCAGGTAACCTTTACTGTCCGCTAACGTGATCGACTGTGATCAGTCCGAGCTCTGCAGGAGGAGATAAGCCACTCCAGCGCTAACCTTACGTCATTTCCGGTACGAAGACGACCTAAACAGATCATGGATCATGGACCTATTAAAATAAAGAAAGACAGATTAAACTAAACTGGTTTAAATGTGACGGCCTCCTTAATCTTCTGTGGTTTATATATAATTACTGTATTCTGCCCAATATACTAACACAATTATCACATAACCTTATATCCCAACAATACTTTGTCGAAGGTAATTGCAGAAGTGAAGAATATCATTTAACACTGACTCATGCGTGATCCCACAATTTCAACATGTTGGATTTTCTTTTGTCGTACTGATGACGCATGTTAAATTTGGGATTGTAATCAAGGCATCACCCGCGTTCTTAGTTTATATACTCTTGCTGCATAAAGTCATTTGACTTCTGCTAATGCTATGCATAATGCTATGTAAAACATGCCTCGACGTTAAAGCCCTAAACTTCATCTGGGTGGATACCATTGTGAAATTACTTGTATAAAAATAACTACTGACAAATATTTTTATAAATGTTATTTATTTTCAGTTTAGTCAAACAGGCCGAATCCCATGTCATCATCGGACTCCTCGGACTCTTCTTTCTTCTCTTCTTTTTTCTCCTCAACTGCAAAGTAAAAATCAACCACAAAATTATTTTGGGCAAGAGGTGTCGCTGACCAGGTCAATAAGCCAGTCTTATGAATATTGAACATATTGGCCAATTCAAGCTTATGCCGAGTCATCATGAGATAATGAGACTAAATGTGACTCACCTGCAGCAGGAGCGGCGGCTCCACCTGCACCAGGAGCTGCAGAGCTGGCAACAGCAACAGCGCCACCTGCTGGCATGCTGGCCAGTTTACCGTAACCTGAGGAGAAGATTGGCAGACACAAGATTACAAAACTAGGGCTACAGGCAGAGTCAATTCAGTTGATTGTGCCTTTGTCACCCAAAATTCTCATTATCTGACCAACTAACTGGGATTATTAAGTATTTGTAAGCATAAAAGCAGAAGGTTAGCTGGAGTTATGGGAGTGAAGTCTAAGATTTATACATATGAATACACACATCTTTTTTTTAATGTATAATCAATGAATCCAACAGGACATGAACAGGATATGTCTATAGTCATATACAGCCCTACATATTAACAAGGTATATATCAGTTACCTCAAAATCCATGAAGTTACTCATGTAAACAATAGCCATTTCATAAAAGTGGAGCTTTAATTATGATCAACCAATTCTTCTGCGCACTTACCTGAGGCAATCACTTCATTTACATTTTTGCCCTGGAGCTCAGTGATGACCTGTAAAAAAATTAATGAAATTAGTCCTGGATTTTAAACTAGTTTTAAGCCTTTGCCAGCCACAGCAAAGCAGCAGTGTACCTTGGTCAGACGCGTGTCATCAGCCTCGATGCCAACGCTCTCCAGGATTTTCTTGATGTCTGAGGCCTCAGGGTTCTCATTACCACCAAGGGCGGCAAGAAGGTAAGCAGCAACGTAACGCATCCTGTAGAGAAAAAAAAAAGTTAAAAGTTTAAATAATCTGCTCAAAGGCAGTTTGTGTGTAATAGGCACATATCTATCTTTTAAGTAGACTAAATTTAGTAATATTTTAAACTGTTCTGTTGATACCCAGGAGACAGGACTTAAAATGTATGTACTGACCAGCCTATTCACACGCTGCTGGGGAAATGTAAAGATGGCCCTACTATTGGTAAATACTGATAATTTGACAGAAAGTACACTTTAAGTACACTTGCATAGGACGACCAGATGTCTCCTTGTCCCTTTCCAAATTGAAAACATTGAATTGTCCACGTTATATACAAGAAATGTCTTGGGTGTCCATTTTTGACCATTTTGACACCGTCCAATGGCAAATATATCACCATTTGTTTAGCTTAAAAAACAAAACCATGCTTCAAAATTACAAGGCAAAACATTTATATTATACACTGATCTACAAGTGAGTCAAGAATGGACTTTGGATTCTATAACAATCATCCTATCAATACCCTAAATAAAATAAACACTTTAATGCAGAGGGTTCTTCCATCGATCTACGAGTCTAGATCACAACATCCTGTCTGCACAATGATTTTTGATTTATAAAGCGGACAATGCACGCACAGTAGTGACCACTGAGGCTTAAATATACTTTTTACGCCTTTGATACTAACGAGGAAAGAAGCAGCATTTTTTTTCTCTACCGATTATCACTAGCATGTTAGCCGCTCTTAACTTGGGCTTACTTATAACAAAAGTAACTCCAAAATGGGGTTCTTCAAAGCCGCGGGGAGCTCGAAGTGGGCTTATATTGACTCTGGATACATTGGTTGGCGTTGAGATTGTGATTTAGTGGGGGAAATCTTATAAAATGTGACACTCACTTGGCTACTCAGGCGAACGCGTGTTCACAGCGAGGTTAGCGCGGGCAGAAAGGAAGTAGCGTCACGGAAACAAAACGGAAGAAGGTCCAACTCTTCTTTTATTGTGGCGCAAATGATAAAGAGGGATAGCGCCATCTGCTGGACAATAGTCAGCAACACAAACTTAAACTTAAACTTAGACAAACTTTATTCATCAACAAGGGAAATTATGTGGACACAGTGACTCACTCACCACAATATAATATAATAACAAAATGTAAAATATATAAATGGTAATAATACATTTTGAATAAGTACAAGTACGGATAACCCTATGTCAATCATCATATCATTGTGGCACTATTACTACTACAATTTTTTTTTTTTTTTTTTTTTTGCTTCTTATTTAGAATTTATTTTACCATTCATATTTTTGCTCTGTGTTGTTATATTATTGTGATGTGTGAGCTACTCCAAATTATTTCCCTTGTGGATCAATAAAGTTTATCTAAGTCTAAGTAGCAAAAAGATAGCAAGTGGCAGGTGTCAAATAAGGCATAATTATATAAATGTATATGTACAAGTAAAAATAAAATAAAAAAAAAAGTAATAAAATATAAAATCTCAGCTATATACAAGAGGTCAAAGGAAGACAGTGCAACGGTTGTATGATGATTGACAGGACATAGGGTTATCCGTTACATAAGGGTGAGTTGTTGTACTGTTGTAGGGAGTATTATCTGTTACATAAAGGTGAGTTGTTGTATGTCTGTATGGAATATGGTATGAATATAGTACTGTATCTCTCGGTGTTTGAGGAGAGCTGCAGAAGCCTGTTGGAGAAATGAGCTCCTCTGTCCCTGGTGCAGTGGGTGAGCAGGCAATGATTTCACAGTAAAATTTGCACAAAAATCTTTTGTTTTAGCTATATTTGTACTAATTGACACGTTTTTCTCCTTAAGGTTGTTATCTGCATTTCAGGAGCAGTGAGCAGCAGAAGTACAAGGTCTGGGGACTTTTCTTGAGATTTGAAGCAGTGCTGTTTATGCTTTAGTTTAGGGCACGTTGTTATAGTTTATGTGCCAATTTCGTGTCATAAAGATGCACTATGTCACTTTTTGATTGGGGGTCTATTACCTGCTTGTTTCTATGGATATGTCATTGCTCTGCCTCCAGTGTTCCACAGTATGACTTTAAACAACTCTACCTTACATTTATTCAATTACAGGTGGTTTTATAGCTCAAAAGTAAATAGAAAAACAGGCATTCTGACTGTACACAGGTTTACCAGGTAAGTTTGTCTGGTTTGGTCTCCATGAAGATAAGATAGGTTTAATGCCCTACTGTGAAGAATTCCAGACAAAGAAATAATATCTCCACAGAGAAAAGAATTTCACAGACCCTCTACCAGAAAACTTACACAGTGCACCTTTTAAAAGGGCTTATTTTTCACAAATTTTAAAGCGACAGAATGCAGTCACTTCAGTTTTTCCAACAGATTTTGTTTAGACTAAGGCAACACAGATCATTTTAAATAATTGTAAACAATGAAGAAATCAGTGATTTTGTTATGACAATGTATGCAAAATTATGCTTTTAGACTATGCAGGATAATTTTACACTGTTGTCCTCCACCATAGTCTCCTCTTGTGTTGTACCAGTGAAAATAATAGGTACATAAAAATAGTAGCCGATAGTAAAATACAATGTTCCTTAAATTATTGTCTGATATGCCTTGAGTTAGTTGGTCCCAGGCTTCTTGCGTCTCTTAACACCAGCTGGCCCTGACTGACAAACACTCCAATACCCACTCCTTTGTCTCAGGCGTGATAGATTTGTGTTGCCAAAAATGTGAAGTGAACCATCCTCAGTCAAGTGTTTGCATCTACATGACAATGCCACTCCTGACTGACAAACATCTTAATCTTGAATCTTGGACTGTGGTTATCTAACTTTTCTCATCAAAGTCAACTTTATAAAATAAGTATGTTTGTTTTTTTGTTTTGTTTTTTAAACTACAGTCAATAAAGACTAGTGGTGCTGCTCATATTGACTCATTGTACATTTGTATACATTTTGAGGTGCACTATGTAAATTTTGTTTGGGCTTCTGTCACCTGCTTGTTTCTATTGATGTCACTGAAATGTTCCACAGTATGACATTAAACAGTTCTACCTTACATTTATTCAGTTACATTAGTGGCATTACAGCTCAAAAATGTATAGAAAAACAGACATTCTGACTGTGAGCGGGGTCACCTCTCCACAGATCTGACCTGTAACTTGGTCTGGTTTTTTTCTCCATGAAGATAGAAAGGTTTAATGCCATAGTGTGAAACATTCCAGACAAAGCAATAACATCTCCACGGAAAATAGTCAATAGCCTCAGGATTGACCACAGACTTGCAGATAAAAAGCCACAAATTAATCACTGACTATTTGGATCTTGATTCATTCTAATAAACACTGATTAATTACACTGGATAAACTTAAATAGCTGATAAATAACACCACAATCTACCCAATCTACATATCTCTCATCTAATCTCTTATTTAGAATTTTCAAACAATAAGAAAAACAACTGCTGTCAATTGAAAAGTCACAACTTCAAGCAGTTTATTAAGCCTAAATTGTGAACACTAATGGTCTACATCACATTTTACATTCAACATTAAGAACAGTAAAGAGCAAAACAGAGAAGACATAACCGCAACAATCCTACAGGTAAGAAGCCAACGAGCATCACACATTTCAAACCGTTATCAAAAGTTTCACAAATGCAGCAAATTTGGTCCTAAAACAAAAGAAAATTTGCCAACATCTCAGAAAATAGCAACAATTTAGGCTGGACCGCTTTCTCACCGTACATCTATGCTAGTTTTCTGCAACTTGGCTGATATGGCCATGGTACTTGATCAAAATTAAGTACCAGACATTCCTCGAGTTATTTTATTTTTAGGAAATTCACTTATAAAAATTGAGAAAATATCAAAAGAAAACTATTATAAAAAATACTCTATTGACCATTTGAAGAGACGAAGGACAAAAAGATAGAAAGGTAAAGAGTGCATTGCAAGGATAATGAACAGATGTGATTTTGCAGCAACATGCCAAGTATTGTGAGTAGCCAATATGAGCAAGTGTGTGAAAGCTGTATTGATAGCTTATATACATTTCTGGTGTTTTATCTGTATGCTGCAAGCTTAAATTGTAGCTGCAATTTCCAAAAGATTTAAGCATGTGATATTGCATTTCACACAGGTTGAAATTTAACATTCAACACTAAAATTACAGTTGTTTGTACCATCAACATCAATGGAAGTTTTCCCATTACTGATCTTGCATAGATTATTACTGTAAATTACACATTTATTTGCTGTGTATCATTCAAATTTGACCATCTGCTTCAAAATGTAAGCACAATTGTAGTTAATTTAGACAACAAAAATGATTCAAAGATTTTCTTTGTAAATGTGATATTAATGAATTTGGAAAAACATGTTTATCAAAACATAGCATCATTTTTTTTAAACATTAAGCATATTTTACAGCACATAAGCACCAAACATCCTTCTCTGAGCACAATTATCAAGCCATAGTAACTAAAATAAGCCATAGTGACTAAAATAAAAAATAAAAACCAGCCACATTAGACAGCAGACAATCAGTGGACCTGCATGTTGTGAAATTAACTGCAACTCTAAGTAACAAAAACTAGAACAGCATACGACTTTCATAATGCCACTCAAACAAATCATAGTCTTTTATCCAACACAGTTACAGAGCCACTGACAAGCCTGTCTGAGATGGGACAGCTACTATGGCTTGTTCACCTTAAGCCTAGTTTACATCTTCTTTGCTATGTACAGTATATTGCATCTAAAATAAAATAAAAACATGAATGTATAAATAAATAAGCCACAGTTTTGCCAGGGCATATTTCATAAAAAATAACAGATGAAAGGAAATGTCTGAATGCAAATATATAATCATTGTTTTTATACATGACATATTTTAGTGTGGTTGAAATGATTAAAAAGCTTTTCCAAATGTTATGTGAGACAATAAACCAAGGTGAAACTTTGAGATGATGTACAATTAATGCAAATGATGCAAAAACACCAATAAAAAACAGATCAAAAACTTACACTTAATGAAAAACATGTACACTGGATGTTTTTTCCTCTTAAAACAAAAAGACAAAAATAAACAATTCACTTCGCTATTTTAGTTCCTTCCCTAACATGTTTGTGAAGAATTCAGGGAGAGATTTGGTTTATGTAACTGTAACCAGCCATTACCAGTAGTCATTTAAAAACAAAAAGGAGTACAGTACACATTACATACAAAAATAGCTATGCCCTGAGGCACTTGGTAGTGGCTGTGACCAAAGTATTAAAAACACTACCAGTTGAAGGAGCATTGTAGTTGATCTCCAATTGCATTCAATTTGTCAACTAAAAACTAAGTCACAAAATGCAGTGCCCATCCAGAATGACAATCATCTAGTGTTAAGCAAAAGTGTTTTAGAAACAAAACAGTGTTAAAATGTTAAAAGTCTGGTGTTTGTGAATGTAACTACATCTAAGTTGGGCTTGTTTGTTACACATGTTGTGCTGGGTAGAGGAAATAGACCCAAACAGATGGCCTGGAGGCTGGAGGAGGACGAGGGACTGGGCATCAGAATGAGAAAATCCTACTGGGGATAGTTGTTCTGTTGTCGGCGCTTTGCCGACCTCATTTTCTCAAAGCGAGACTCCATCTCCTCCAGGACTTTAGGAGTGTATCTCACCACCAGCTTCACTGTGCCCTGGGCCGCCTTCAGCAGCTCCACAGCCTTCTCATGGTGCTCTCCCTCCACACTCTAAAAAGTGACAAAACCAGGACAAATGCAGTGAGATTTTTTAATTCAAAGAGACACCACCTGATTTATGGGGAGTTTATTAAGAGTAGATTCAATCAATCTGTTAACAAATAAATACACAAGCTACACAGCTACAAAAAAGTTATTCTTTTTGGATAAAAACTAACAACACTTTTCTTTTTCTCTGCTCTTTTGGTTTATATGAATGGAAATTAACTGTACATGATTGAAAACAAACTATAAATAAATTAAACAGAAAATTAATAAATTAAAACAACAGTATTTACACATTAAATAACACCAGCCCAAATAAACTCAGTAAATTGATATCTTACTGAATAATTTAATGAAACTGTAATCTCACCACTCCATTGACAGACAGCAGCTGGTCGCCCCTCTTCAGCCCACCATGCCGATCTGCTATTCCCCCCGGAATGATTCTGGAGATGTAGATTGGGGAGTTTTGCTCCTTGCCGCCCATTATATTGAAGCCCAGACCTTCCTCAGTTTTGGGCAGTTCCACCACACGAGGATGGGAGTGCCCTTCACTTGCTGCAAAAGCCGCCACCGTGGCCTGAAACAGTTGGTAACAGTATGTACACAAAATAGAATCCACTGTCCAACGACCATGTTCTGAGAAACAGGTGACCCGTCAGCTGTAACAGACATTAAATGGGTCTGGCGTAACAATAAAATTTGTAATCACCTTTGCTGTAGCATTGGCCCGGACCTCAGGGCTACTGTTGATGTCCACAGTCTCATAAACATGTTCATAAACCTGAAAAAAGGAAAGAAAGAAAACATGAATCAGCATGGGTTCATGAAACATCTGCCCAGTATGACACAGGAGACTCACTTCTCGGACTGCGTTGCAGAATTCACTCTGGAGGACCCTCTGCAGAGCCTGCAGCTTCTGTGGAGGCACTTCCCCTGTTCGCTGCAGTTTGTCCAACAGCTCAATGGCACGATTAATATCTGGAAGTAATACACATTGATTCATGGATGTGATCTAATTAAGCAGTTAACATTTTTCCTGTCATGTCAGCCCCAATGTGCTGTGACTTATACACTGAGCTCTGTGATACATGTCGGAGACGAACTGAGGGTTCGGAACACCGTGTCACTGGACATTTGCTGTATGCATCTTATTAATGCTCGAGATTTTACTTACAAATAAAATATGATCTTATTTCCACGATAATATGAAATACTATTCCAAATGTAATTACCAATAAAATGGAATATCCTGATCCATGAGTAAGCACTTAATAAGTGCAGAAAATAAGTCGCTTAAAGCCAAGTGATGGAGCGCTAGTTTGGTTCATAATGATGTCTGACTTTTTGCTGTTGACATGGAGCTTTAGTCTGTTCAAGTAACTTTAATGTCAACATTCAAAACAACACCGTGATAATTACGCAAATATGTCCAATGACTTAACTACTGTAATTGCTGTTTATGTTAGCAAAGAAACACTTGGTTAACTTCATGTCTATCGTCTGTCGGTGGCTAACCAAACACTACCGTGCTACCAATACTGCTAGTGAACCAAATGCTCTTTTATCACGAATCTAAAAATACGATTCAATAAATCACCGGCCATTTTGGCAGTTATTCGACAAGCCATCCTAACAGGTTTAGTATGAATGGATAATCCTACATAAAGCTCTTTTTCGCGAATGCTAAAAGAGAAGCTGAAACCGCCCCATGTCATAACAATATTCTTCAGCTAGCCTCAGTTAGCCAATTAACCTACCTCTTTCCAATCGCACAGGCTCTCCAAGTGACGCCATTGTTCTCACAGGGTTATTTTTGCTGATGAGTGGATTGTAAGTTAAAAGACAAATATGCAAAACGAAAATTGTTAATCCCTGGAAACGTCGGGAGCGCTTAGCCCAGACGATAAATCAGATTAGCCAAGTTAGCTTCCAGGCTAGTTGCCAGTGTCATTGTGTGTTCCCCGGACTGTAGGAAAGTAGGCGCCCATCAACCAAACCCACGAGTTTATCTGCTAAATAATGTGATTAATTTACCGCAAGGAGGCTAATATGGCAGCTAAAGTTAGTAAAATAATAAATAAATACGACTTACATTTATCGTGTTTTATGATGCTAGTGTAATTGATTTATTTGTTTACCAATGTATTAAAGCATTTTTCACTGTTTTAATAATTGCGCCTGAAATTGTTTTGGATGTTTAAGAATCTAAAGAAGAACTGAAATATGTTTAAGGTGCTGGACAGTATATATTATAAGAGTCATGTATTATAGTTGTTATTGTATAGACAAATATTAATTTCTCCGAAACTTTGAACTAACCCCATGTCTCTACCTCCCTCTAGCGGCAGACCACACAGTGACAGGCTCTGAGGGGAGACTGCAGGCTGAGTCACAGATGTGAATGGACTGGAGGTTAGTGCTTTGGAAAAATAGCTTTCTCATTCTCGGTTTAAATAAGGAAATGCAGGTAAATTTAACTGCATCCTTTATGGTTTGAGTAGGCCTACTGTAAAGCATAACAAACAAACATTATTTTTTTGTATTAGCCTACAGAAATTCATGGGTGTACTCAAATGTGCATGTAGTGAAGCCTCATCAGAGAAATCATCACTATCTGTGGTTGGATTTAAAGAACTTACTAAATATTTAGGTTTTATGTAATTTGGTATCTTCTTAGCGTGTCCTCCTTTTAACTTCTGCAAAATAGAGAAAGTACTTCATCTTTTCACTTGCTCCTGATTTCCCCAAATCTCTGAATACCTGACCTCTTCTTACTGGATTTGTACTTACCTTAAAGTAGAACAGGAACAAAATAGAGGTGCATACTTGCTACTTACTTGAAGTATTTTGTACTTGGGGCACATTTGGATGTGGTCCATAGTCTAAAGTCAAAAGATGAAAACTTTCCTGTGATAGTACATTATTACTTCACACTACAGTAATTAAACTTGGCAGCGGTGCACTGTGTTATGTGCAGATTTATTATATGCTTTAGGGGATGTTATCGCCGCTCCAACCTTAAACCCGGTTTCCAAGCAATGTCCCACACTGGCTTTTTGTGGGCCACAAGATAAATTAATTTCATTTCATCTTTTGTCAGAGAGTTATATCCAGCTGTGGCCTAATGCTGTTGTATTTGTTCTGTATTTTAATGTACACAGAAAGTGGGAGCACCAATCAGTCATTGTCAGATATGCCATGCCTCATGTGAACCCTCAGCTTAGGGTACCTGTCTGCACATGAGTGTGGCTGCTCCTCTTTTGATATGTGAAGTTTTTAATTGTGACCTTACAATTGCAACAATCAAGTCCATCATCTTCTTGGTGTGAGAGTTAAAATGAGTGTCGACAATTGTAGAGAGGCGGGAAAATGACATGTTGTGATTTAAACTAACATTTTTAATGAGGTCACCTCATCTCAAACCTGAAACCAATGCAGATAGATATCAGATAATTTGTACTTGTGTCACTTATGTTCATGCACAAGACTGTGTGTAGTTGCGCATGCATGTGTGTGTGTGTGTGTGCGCACGTGTGTGCATGTGTTTCATGTTGGTGTCCACTTTTCCTTCCTCAAAATGCACTTCTGAAACTTTATGAACATTGATTTTGTTTTTCAGTTGCCTATAGTCATTTTTATTTCTTCAAATATTTCAGTTTAATATTGCAAACAACTTCACAACATACAAAATGAATAATATTAACCCAGAAACATGTCATGAATAGATTTTATATATATATATGTATGTATATATATATATACTCTTTTATATATATCTTGTCCTCTGGTGGGGATAAAAAAATAAACAGCAAAGCTTTGACAACAGCACCTTGACATAGTATGTAGTTCCAACATTACCTTGAGAAGTTTAGAACAGTAAACAGAGAAATTACTGCAGGAGGTTCTGAGTATGTAACGGGATGTTTTTGGTAAGCGTCATATCCTTTTTTGTAAGTGGAGAATTTTTCAATTCACAATTGAAGCAGCATGCAAGCCTTAAAGATGGAGCTGTCCTCCTTCATTCCTTGCCTTGTTTTTTCCTTCATTTTCTAATTCTTGGCAACGTAAACAAATCACAATGTCTTGGAGGAATGTGATAGTAATTTAAACTGGGCGCAAATGACTGATCAGATTTTTTTTAATTGTTTACAAGGTCATGAATATGTTCAATAAATAGACTGTAGTATCACTTTTACTGTATAAACTTCATCTTTTTTTACATGCAGTCCATAAAATTTTCATTTGACGGAATAATTTACCCTGTTATGTATATATACAAATAGATATTTTCTCTTTATTCTCTTTTTTAAACTCTTCAATAAAATCTATACATTTTATACACTATCTCCCTCTTTTAATGGTCAATGTGCATACACATGAAGTGTCTATCCTTATAAAGCGCCAGCCGATCTTCTTTTTGCTATCCATGGTAAGCGCTCGCACGTAGGACTGGGTTGTCCTGCATTGGGAATTATAATGCCGCTTGTCTATTCCTCTGCAGCCCTCCTTCGTGTACCCCATGGGGTTGCATTTGGTCTCATAAAAGTATTGCTTCAGTTGGCCATTGGGGACAGGGACCTTTTCCATGACGGTAACTGTCTGCCCAGACATGTCTATTGCCGTCTTTTTATCCACAGCTGTCACCCACTGGCTAATACTGTCACACACACTGAGCTCTCCGCGCCGCGACGGGTCCGAGTGCCTGCGCACCCGCATGGACATGTTGGCTGCGTCCAGATAGTTTTTGTATTCCTCCAGGAGAAAGAGCAACGGCGGCTCCAAAGGCACTTGGTTGCTGATCATCACCCGCGAGTTGTACAAGTCGACATCCTTGGTCTCTGCTGGCAGCACCGGACTGGGCCCTCCTCCGCCCTGGCTCTTGTCCGAGCCCTGTCCCAGATGGGCGTTGCCCTCCACCTCCAGCAGCTCCTCTATGACCTGCTCAAACGTGTCTGTGAGCGCCGCCAGCTCGCCCCCGCTGCCCTGAGCAGTCCCATGGCCCCGGCCCGCAGTCGCAGCACCAGCGCCCAAGTAGCCCTCCGTCCGATGGGCCCTCATACCCGGGGCGTCTCTCAGGGGCGCGGCTCTCATGCAACTGAAGTATGAAATTACCATAGTAAGAAACAGGATGGTCATCACTCTTCTAACCTGGTGGAACTGCAACACACAGAAAGAGAGAGAAGCCCGTCAGTCAAAGAGCCTATTGAACAAACTGGTCTCAAAGACCATTCATTCACACTGTTTATTTCAAGCCAAAATGAGCCACTTGCCAATGTTTTATTAAAGTGACATTGGCACTGTTTTATCAGTTTTACAAATTGTTTGCAAACTAATCCTTCTCGTCCTGTGTGATGTCTGGCCTGGGCTTTTTATTTGCTGGCAGCAAAAAAAGCATATTTTTACAAAGTCTCCCAAATTTCAAACCCATACTAGCACACAGTATTTTAAACCTTACACTAAACACTCATTTCTAGTTATATTTCTACTTTCTTTACTAGAGGCTTGTAATAAGTCCTTTTATTGTAATAACATAATTGACAGGAACAAACGATGGAGACCTTAAAAGATTAATTTAGAGCGCTCGTGTTCATGTTTGCTTAAGAATATGAGATTATTTGTTTCTGCTTTCATTGAACGCTGATGTTTGGACTGGGTCAATATTATCCTTCCACTAACAAAATGACCTGTTCTCCAATATGGACAGCTCTTATTAAAAGGGGATTTTATGTCCGCATCGACAGATGTTAGAATATTTAAAAGTGCCCACTGTTGTTCGGCAGGAAGCAGGAGTTTACTGAGAGACAGTGATTTTTGTCATAATGAGAATACCATAAAATGAATTGACAGGATGTGATAATAAACTCATGGTAAAAAGGTGTGTCACCCCTTCAGATTGCATTGGAGAACTTCAATACTCCACTCACTACAGAGATTTGCATCCTTTACTATAGCCTAAAACACATACAAGGGCTGCATATCCTATCCACAAACCAGCTAAACATATCTCAATCTCATTTTCCAATTTAAAAGTGCAATATGCAACTTTTCTGGTGTCATTGCATTGTCTGGAATATTCCGCAGTATGGCATTAAGTGTATCTCAAGCATGCACTCTTACTGTGAGTAGGGTCACCTCTCCACTGATCTGACCTGTGACATGGCCTGGTGGCATCACTTGCTTGTGTCCATGGAGACGGATTCATTCTATACTGTGGAACTTTCCAGTACAGTAATAATATCTTAATGGAGACAAAGAGGTGATGGGACTTCCACCAAAAAAGTCACACATTGCACCTTTAAAAAATAATAGCCCAAACTCAACTCAGACTACACATTGGCCCATCCTGAGCAGGCGACCCAAAAAGTCATCTTAGTTTTTAAGTGCAAACCCCACCTTTAAAAGCATTTGTTTCATTCTTAATTGGTATCTGGGGCCTTGGCTGCAATTAACCAACGCCGCGGGACTGCCACTGCGCCTAAAAATAGATGTGCTTGGAGTCTCACAGTCTCTATTCAGAATATCACATACTTGTTCCTAATGAGCCACTCAATCCCAGAGCTGCGTGGTGTGCGCCTCCCAAGTCAGTGTCTGTTAGGGGCAGGGCAGATGGATTTTCTCTCTCTCTCTCTTTCTCTCTCTCTCTTACTATAAACAACAATGAAAAAGTTGTCCATTTACGATAAAGGTTTTGATGCCTTCTTCTCAGCTCCACTGCTTACCGGATTTGGGCCCTTTATGTGTATAGGATGCATTTAGGCTTATATTATTATGACTCAATTGGTTCCACGCAGAGGCAAAGAGCGTCCGATTATCATCCTGGGCGTCAAACTTCATGCTGGAAAATGGTGCAGCAGACCGGAGAAGTGCTGCTGCATCTTCGGTAATATAGACCACAGGGGTAATATTGCAGTAGCAGTAGGGGGGTGGAGAGAGAGCCAACGTCATTTCGCAGCATAACAACCCCGGATGACGTCTCTTCCAGGTCTCCATAGGGGAGCCAATGGAGGGGAGGAGGTTGCTGGGGGTAATGCCACTCAACGGTGTGCAATCGCCAGCCCTCCCTCTCCCCTGGGTCTCCACACACTGGGAACAACAAATGATTTTATTTCTAACGCCACGATTTCCTGTTTTCCATCAGGACAATCAATATGGCTTATGCTCTCAATCAACATCCTGTTAAAACGTGATAAAGCAAATGAATCTTTTAATTGCTGAGAGACCGGGTTGAGGATCACGGTTTTGAATCTCCTGGAGGGGCAAAATGTGACAATGCGATGCAATTTCTGCCCATTTCTCACACATCCACTGTTGAATTTCACTATGATCCAAATTCTATCTTGTATGTAAACACAATAATGCAATACATAAGAGATAATAAAAAAGGAGGGATTAGTAGTGCCTTCTAAATCATTGCTTCGTAATGATTTGATTTTCTGATTTGTGTTCTGCAGGCTCACCGCGCCACTCATCTGACGAAAACCACTACGCAAACAAGCTCCCATTCACAACGACACAGCTCAAAACACCAGGAACAATGTGTGCAGAGGAGCAGGTGAGTGCGCGGCCATCGTGACCACCTGTTTGTGCATTAGGCGCCGCACGACTACATAAGCGCCGTATATAAGCCTTACATTTATTCTATGAAAGCCAGGTGGGGATTATTATAAGAATCCCTCCATTGACAGTGGCTGAAAAGTTGTTCTAAAGCATGAAAGGACAGGCAGGCTAACGCTTTTCCAACTCAGTGCACATGTCAACATAATATAGTGCTGCATCTTCAACAGCAGCACCTGATATCAACTTCAGACATAGGAATAAAAAGATACACATATGAATGATTGACTATTACACCTCAGCACCCAATTCTTTCATTCCTGCAACATGTTTTATCACGTTTTACCTATTAACACCTGACGGCTCAGAATATATCTGGCTAAAAAGCAAAATCTTCTTTACAACTTATGCACCATATAGTCTGAAAAAAGAGGACCCCTTCTGTGTTCAACAATGCAACACTTAAAAAAAAATGCAATTAAAGTTGTCAGCAGTAATGGCTGACACGTGTGGAAGGTCGCTGCCTTCTTCTTGTCTGGGATCTGCTTACAATCTGACACAGTTTCAAAGCATGTTTAGTAATAGATGAGCATCACTGAGGGATTATACCTGGCCTGGTCTGAGCCAACCCCAGCCACTGCCACAAAGAGACAGCTCTTCAAACAACTGCTGAGTGATGCGTCCATTTCCAAATAAGTATCCTTCTCCGGCACGATCAAACAAAACAACAAAGCCTATTCAGAAATGTTTACAGATGTAGACCTGACCATAAATCGTATCCCCTCGTTAATTTTACCACATCTCTTTATATACTGAAACATTTATACTTATACACATAAAATTAGAGACGCGTGCAGTACCGACTCGTGAACACTAGAGTGCGCATGAGACCGTGAAATATTGTGCTGGCCCTGTTTCCCTCCACCTTTCATGCAGTGTGCACCCCTCCTTCAAGTTAAACTGAAGATGGGTAAATAAATATGTAGTTATACAGATATGGTATAATTCTGAGGATATTTAAGTGCAATCAAGTTCAATATTTAGCTTCAAGAATATTCAACAGTGGAAATTAAAAGTTGACACCCCAGGAATGATACGTCCAGATAAATCAACCCCAATAAGCCATCTTTCCTCCACACTATAAACTGGACGTTTAACAAAGCAATTTAAAGTTATTAATGGCAAATAGTCCTGGGGTACAACCCCAACACTGTGTGTGGTGTTGGCTAACGTAGCCGGTGTATCTCAGGTTTCCTATAAAGTCTTAATGAGTTCATGAAACTTTTCAGTATTTTCCAAATCAGTAACACAAAAACGTGACAGGACATCGTGTCCGCAGCGATGTGGAGGATTCTGCGCAGTTACAGATGCGTATTGTTGGATTTACGCGCGTGGAGTGTCCAAAGTATCTGATTTCATCCATTGGATAGCCTCCACTTTGTTACTTCATAGGAATAATAAACAGTCACATCGCTAGGGCTGGTTCAAATCTAATGGCAAAGTCGTTGTTATATGAACATTGCATGATAGCCTGGGCCTCGGTGTGTTCTGGAAACCCAATCAACATAATAACTCCGTTTTTTATTAATGAACGTGAGGATAAGGTTACGCATATCCCTCACAGTCTGTCTGTTCGCAGAAGAACCGGACTTGATCGAGCTACTTTTAGCCCCCCTCCCCTTCCCATCTCCCTCGTGCTATCACACATACACCCCATGCCCACAATAAAATAAAAATGTGTAGAATAAGTTAAAGCAAACAAACGTAAAACATACCTTTTACTGCCCAAGTCGTAAAAGAGACCATTCAAGAGGACAGTGTCATCAGGGACGCTTAAGACAAACTCCCTGCTCTGAGTAATTAACTTTAAGCGGTATTTTCCTCTCTCTTTTTTCCCAAGTCAAGCTTCAGGATATCTCTTCTTCGGCTATGGAGCAAATATATTAAATTATTGATGGTGGAAATTGCATGGATGAGGTAATGCACTCCCATGGCTGCGCGGCGCGTTTGGAGATCGTTTGGAGATCGCGTCAAAGTGAAGTTGTCGCATGGTGAAAGCAAAGAAAAACGCCGCACTTGGAGTAGCAGCGGCAGTAGCAGTAGCGGCAGAAACACACGGCGGATGATAGACCTCTGAGGCTGAAATGAGGAGCCGTGGCAAACTACAGTAACTTTACTACACACAGTGACGCTGCAACATGTGACCTGCCGCTGGCTGACTGGTTGCCATCAAACTCCAGTTTAAACAGCCCCGAGGCGGAACTATTAGCGCTTTTGTTTGTCCGCGAGCATCTACTTCATACGTCTGTCAATATATATATACTACAATGAGGCTATATAAAGCACAAAGCCCTCCACTCTGCACTCTCCTCTTCCGTATTTTTATGCTCAGTGAGTTCAAAGAGGGAGGCTTTTGCGTAACAACAGCGCGTCTCCCTCCACCAAGTCGTGATACACCGCGAGTGGTTTTAGACTTGGCCTATTTGTATAAAATTAGGCGTGCAGGGAACTAAAACAGCGTGCCTCTGCCTCTAAACAGCACACGGAGGGGGATAGATGCGTTATATTAAAACAAGCCCTGCTCAGATGCTATGCGTCGTTTTGCGTCAGCATCTAACCCAATTATAGCTCTATATGAGGTTTCCTGGATGTTATTTTAAAGCAGCCTTCTATATGGCCATGTTTAGACCAGAATTTATGGACTCTTTCTTTTCAACACAATACAAGACAAATGCTTTCAGATTCAATAGAGAAAACCTGTCCGGAGACATGCAATAAACCATAGATGAAGTAGGAATAATGAGAGTCTGTGCACTTGAGATACAACTGAAAATACTGAAGGATGGACAGCTTTTAACTTTTGTTTCAAGTACAAATTTGAATGTTGAATGTTATTAGTAAACTTGGAAAGAGATATTGATGAGATTATTGTATTGACGTGTAAAACTGGCATGCATCAGTTTATATTAGTCATTGACAAAGGGACGTTGTGGCCGTTTGGAAGCTAGAAATATAAACTTGACTACTTTCTTGAGGCTTTGAGACAAGTTGCCTCCACAACAGATGGGCGCCTCCCCTGCAATGCCCTGCAGTGTAGTAACCATCCTTTCACAGGTCATTCTAACCTCATAAATGCTAAATAAACACCTTTAAATTACATCAACAAAGCTTAAAAGGGTCTTCCTCTCATTGTGAACAAACTGCTGCTTTCACCATTTGAATAAAGACGTCAGAGGAGACACAAGCTTTCAATGGGTGATTTGGAAAGTCCACCTGTGTTGAATACAAGAGTGAGCATAATGGGGAGATAGCTGCTCATTATCCTTGTGACTTGGCCTTGATCCAGGGCACAGATTTATTATGATGTGTTTGCTATATTACCATCATGACTCTCCTCCCTGCATGCGCTGTGGAGAGCTCTTGTTTGGCATGTAGCATTATGGGAGTGGATTCTCACACCTGCCTAATGAGTCAGTCCCACCTCCAACACACCCGGGGACATGCCAAGATAGATATAGCCCTCCCCAAAGGCACACAGGAGGTGAGGGCAAACTCTGGATGACAAAGAGTTACATCAGCAATCACTGAGCGACTTGACTCCAGTGAGGATAAAAAAATGCACACTGCACATGGGCCAAACAAGTAATTCATAAATAAATCACTTGGCATCTCATTAGGAGAGCAAAACAACAACATGGTGTGTCTCTCCATTTTGCAAAGACAGCAGAACTTCACAGAGAGGGCTAGCTCACATGCTTTGGAGGGTTTTTGTGAATGAAATTTTTAAAGGCAAAGACAAGTGGAATTTGTTGGCTCATGTGGGTGAAACTTGAAGAAAACTGTGGCCAAACAGCCGTCCATCTAAAACTGCTAAACCACTATTTCATCGGAACTGGGGTGTACGATTTCTGGAGGTTTAAGATTTCCCCATACGATGCCCAGGACAATGACTTCAAATGGGACTTGTGGCGGTAGGGATCTTTTGTCTTTGTCAGTTTTGGGACAAAGTTAAAAGTGATACAGGTTTGGTGACGGCATACATTTCTAAACCACAGTCACCTAAACATCTTTGGACCGCAGATAAATCAACCATTGAGTGACAATATGACACACTTGGATAACCTTTCAAGGCTTGTCTGCTGCCAAACTGCAGCATGATGCCGGCAGTGCTGAGAAAAAATTCAGTCCAAGAGTCTACAAGTATGTGTGTGCCTATTCCTTGTACAGAAAACATGGGCGAATTGACATTTTGAAGAAATGTCATTTTCAGTAGGGATAAAGGATGGCAGCGAGGGCATTTTTATCAAAGTAAATGAAAGAAAACACGTCAACTGGGCTGTGGGGACGACTCGCTATAGTGACGCAAGTCTGGAGGTGGAGAACACTGTCTGCTAAACAAATAAAGACCAACCTAATCAAATGTTGTAGTGAGAATTTAATGCCTTGCTTATTGTCATCACAGGCTCTCATCTAATCACAAATACAGATACAATAGACCAGCTTTTCATATGTGACTGGAAATTACTGCCACCTTTTATTATGTGCTGTCTTATTCTTCCTCTAGCCCTGTGCACCCCACCTCCCCCACCCTACACATCTCACCCCCACCCAAGACTCCTCAATCCAATATCACCACAGCATCAATAACCTTTTGGCTCACTGCTGGAGGAAAAAAATACTCAAGCAAGGCCTTTTATACTAGATTCAATTTGGTAGGCTGCACAAATAAGCTTGTACATTGCTATATCAGTGCCTGTAATGTGACTCATGATTTGTTTGATCATATGACACATGCAGGCTCCCATACTGTGATTCATATTATTGATTATATAGAAATATCAGGGAGAAGATGCCATATTGTTAAAGGAAGTATCTTGTTGTCATCAAAGACTTTCTCACGCACACAGCCATGACTCCTCGTGGACAGACACTTACATGCACTAAAACTACCCACTGTGTATTAATAACTCGTCGTGGGCATGTGCACTGTAAAAAAAA